TTTATAATATCCCTTTAAAGAAATTAACAAACAACCCAACAGCCACCTTCCTGCCCTCCAAAAAATTGAAAAAAAAAAAAAAAAAGCTGTGAAAAGGGAGGCTCAGCTCTTGTGTAAAAATCTGGCCAATGTTACCACAATAATGTTGATGAAATGGGCAAACCCTGAGGTCTGGGTGCATGATTGAACTCCAGCCTGGGCGGCCTGCTTGGGAAAACCCTGCAATATTAAGTCTGTGGCGACCCCAGGGAAGGGCCTGCCAGCCAGAGAACACTGCACTTGTGTGAGGAATTTCTCACCAGAGAGGCTCCTGAGGCCAAAGGTTGGCACCCCTCCCTGCAGCCATTTTAGAAGATGGGCTGGTCACTGCAGACAACGCTAAAGCCAGAATGTCCATTTGAAATTCCACGTTCACCTGTCGCCAAGCTCCATGCAAACGTGGCGTGGAGCTCGCTCTCCAACTCCTCAGTGCGGCAGCCCTGCCGCAGCCCTCCCTCGGCATGGTTTGCCCCTTTGCGGGGTTGGAATTGGCAGGACTCCACTGTGGTCGGCACCAGCCTGGGGTCGCCGGCGCCCTGCTGGCCCCTTTTTCCGGAGCAGCCAGCCAGCCCAGCCCAAGAACAAGATGGCCTTCCCTCTCTCTCTGGACTCACAGCCTTTGCAGAGTCAAACTCCACTTGAAGCTCACTCATTAATATCCTTTACATGTGTTTTATATTGTTTTGACTGCCTTTTTTTGTAGAAATAAAAATTGACCTTAGAATTTATCATCCGATGAACTTGTAAGGATTTGAATGTTAATGTCTTTTCAAAGCAAGTGGGACCGTCCCCGAAATAGTAGAAAATACTTGTTGCTGACACCCAGAGGAAGCCGATGGTCCAAATGCTGTTTGTTACCAACTCTGCTTCTGCTACTGGCGGCTTCCCTTCTTGGCTCTTCGGGGGGACTAGATGTGGAGAAGATGATTTAAAGAAATTTTGCTTTCTGTTTTCATTTTAGTTCTATAATTTGAGATCTTTCCGGGGCTTACAGACCTGTAAGACAGCCTGGTTTTATCTGTGCAGAATGAGAGCGATGGGTAGGGTAGGCAGCATAACGTTGTTTAGTTGTCCAGGCGCGTGGCCCCTGAGGTGTGTCAGTGAACTCAGCTTCTTTAGTCCTAGGTACGCAAGAGGCAGGTTCTGGAGACTCCCGCATGCCCAGGAGGGCAAGAATGCCGGGCCAGCGTTTCCACATCTGTCTCATCATTAGCAGAAAGGTGATGATGGACTTTATTTCATTCACATGCAGATTTATAATAAAATGCCAAATTCTGTCAGAAGCTATCCAAACAAGCCACCATTTGTTCTTGTTGCTTCTTTGAATCCAGAAATATTGCCATTCTCGGAAACTGCCCCATTGCTTTGTACTTCTACCAGCGTAGCTCTGCCCGCCTGTCACCCCCTCGCTTCTCTGCTCACCCCTGGAGGAAACCTTTTTCAAAGCCGGCAGTCCCTCAGGGACTCTCAGCCCTGACATTGTACCCCATGGTTTGCCGTGGTCAGCAGAGACCAGGCCCTCAAGAGCAAGGCAGCAGGGGGGTCCCTCCCTCAGGCCTGGGCAGCTTGCTCCATCCAGCCGGGCAGCAGCCAAGGACTTCGTCCAGGTGGTCACTAAGCCCTCAGGGCAGGCTTTGAGCACGCTGACGGGCAGCCCTGGCTGCCCCCCAACCAAACTGCAGGGTCCTCTGGAGAGGGGGAGAGCTGTCGAGCAGCCACCGCTGACCGGAGCCCACTCAGGAATTCACACCCGCCTGGTTCCTCAAAGTGCGCTGGGTCCTCCCCCTCTTCCCGCCCACCCCACACCCCCATGGCAGAGAATAGGCTTTCTAAGATGCTGCGATCCCTTTCTGCTGCCCAGAATAAAACGCTCTCCAACACTGGTTTGGTTGTGTGGGTTTCTTTCTTACCGGGGATGGGCAGTGCCAGGGCTCTGTGCTCTTGGAGATGGGGGAGGGGAGCCCAGGCCCCTGGTCTGAGGCAGCTTCTCCCTGCTCCTCTCTCTCCATGCCCAGCCTGTCCAAAAGAGGCATGCAGAGGCGGGAAATGGAAAAGGCTGGAGAGTCCAGACCACTGGGGCCTGCAGAGGGACTCCTTGGGTGTCTGGGGAGGGGACAGCAACCTCTATGTATGTACATCAGTACAGTCCACCTGTCAGCCCAAGAGACCGAGATTACCCACACTGAGCAGAAGACCAGGCTGGAACCCTGAGAAGGGTGGCCACAGGGATAATGAGGGTCTGCCTCGCGGTGGGGCCAGAAACCCACCTCTGAATCCCTTGACTGCTGGCTGTAGCGCTGACAGCACTTGGCCCAGCCCGGGCTGTGACACTGTTTCCCTTCAGCCAGCCGAGTTCCTGTCTGGAATTGACACCAGCTGAGACCAGGCCTGCCCTGTCAGCTAGGTCTGCAGGAGGGCACCTTCCTGGGGTATCATTCTACCAGGAAACAAGGAGCCCGGCCTTTCCTTTGATCATCAGTGGGGAGTTCTGCCATGTCCTACCACTTTGTCTTCTGTGAATCTCAAGTTCAACCCCATGGGCACCATTATCTCTGTTTTCACAAGGGAGGAAACAGGCTCAGTGACTTGGCCAAGGGCACCTGGCCTGTGTTTTTACACAGTCTGGCTCCAGAGCCTGTTGCATTCCACCATTCGGGTTCCTTTGGGCACACACACAGCCTCAGTCCCCCTTCCCCAAAGCCAGAGGCCCACAGGACCCTCTGTCAACTCCCTGAACTCGAGCCACCATTTTCTTGCCTTCCTCACTTTCCTGTTAATTGTTCAGCTCGAAATACGTGTCTGCTACATCACTCCTGTGCCCACTGTAGCCAGCTTCTGTCACCCTGCGGCTCCATGAGGCTCCTCTTGGCTAGGACCCTGGGACTTCCTCATTGCCAAGTCCATAGGCTGGTAGCCTCAGCCCTGCTCTCACTGCTTCATTTGGCAGCATCTCCATGCCCCACCCTGCAGAGCAGCCAGCTGACCCGGTCGAAGGCGAAGCCAGAGCTGGTCTTAGTTCTTCCTGCCCTGCCTGCATTGGCTCTTCCTCCTCTCCCTGCTTCCCTCGTGCAACCTGGGGGAATGGCACCAACCCAAGAAGGAGCAAGCTGAAGGTGGGTCTTGGTAAATGGCCGTTTCCTGGGTGATGGGAACATGTTCTTGCTCGCAGACTGGGCTCCTGGGGGCACCATGCGGGCCTCAAGATCAGAGTGGAAAGAACTACCCAGCACTGTGCAGAGGCCATAACCAAGGCCCAGGGAAGGAAGTCCTTTCCTCCGGAGAGCATGCTCTGACCTGTCCTGGCTGTGAGGAGCCCCGCTTTGGCCTCACACTTCTCACACTTTGCTGTGTTCCTCTCCCCACTCCCCCCATTGCAGCCTGGATCACACCCCATGAGTATGTACCATACTGTGAGCTCCTTGCAGGCTGGGCTGTGTCCCACCCAGCACTCAGCCCTGGCATGACACAGAGCAGACCCTCTAAACATGAATGATGAATGGGTGGATAACAGAAACCACCTTGCCTGAGCCATCCAGTACATAGCAGGTTTGGCATAAGAAATACCCCTCGTCTCCCTGGTGAGGCGCCAGTGACAAGCTCTGCAGCGGGCCCTGTGCTGCCTCTGGTCCTCCGCCTTATCACCTTCCTCCACTTGCGAGGTGGACCTCAGCCTCCTGAGGATCCTACCAATCTGCTCATGCCCCCTCTCCTTTCCGCTCCTAAACGCTCCTGGTCCCTAGGGCTGCTCTTGGCCCTCATCTTTGCTCATCCCCTCTCCCTCCCTGGGTGACAGTAGCCACTCCCACTGCTTCACCTAGCATCTGGGCAGACCCCCAAGTGTGTCTCCTGTCTACCCACACCTCTATCCTGAGCCTCAGAGCCACACAGCCAGCTGCCTCCTCCTCTCAGAACAGCAGAACCCCCCGAGGGAGGTGCCTCAATGCCACCAGGCTGCCTTCAGGCCACCCCTACCAACTCCAGCCAACAGCCTGCAGGAGCGTGGCCAGGCCCCACTGGGCTGAGTCGAGGAGGTGAGGGTGAGGCAACAGGAGGGCCCAAACTCAGTGCTTCTAGCTCACAGCCATGTATGGAAGTAGGAGGAAGGAACCTGTGGCTAGTAGAGCCAAGGTCAAGGGAAGGTCAGGATGGAAAACGGAGCCAGAAAAGAGGTGGCTGAAGCCACAGTTGTGGTGGGGACCTCGGGGGTGGAGGCAGGAAGGAGGAGCAAGAGCCTGCCCTCACCCCTTCAGAAAGCAGCATGTCCCTCAAGGCTGCCTAGGCCAGAATAGAGCTCTTTAGGCACCGGATTCCATGCCTGGCACAGTGCATGGCAAATACCTGAACAGGTAGCTTCGAAGCCCTGCTCTGCCACTCCCACTGCTAGGTCTGTAAAATGGGGACACTGGTGCTGCCACATAAGCACTATTAGGTGCAATTACATGAGACAAGGAGGACCATGTGGTGTTTCGTCTGCCTTTCCATCCTCTGGAGCAGGGCAGAACTCTGTGCATTCGAGAACTCCCCACCCTCTTCCCCATCTGCTCCCTGCATCTCCCTGATGCAAGCCACATGGGCCCCACGGGGTAGCCACACTTCACCAGGGCCCCAGGGAATCCAGGATACCATTTCCGCAGGAGACTGTCCCTTCTGGAAAAACTTAAATGTGCTCCTGTGAGCTTGCAGGACCTCCTCAGCCTTTCCCCTAGGATGGCAGAGGGCTGCTTACTTAGAATAGGTGACTTCTTTTTAAATCAAAACTCAGATTATATCTCCCAAAAAGTAGCCTGGTGAGTCATTCTTCTCCCAATCCCCCCCACCCAGATAATAAATAAAACCCACCTAAGCATGAACAAAACCAGCATATGGAGTGTGCTTTTCTTTTCTTCTCTGGAATAGTGACCTGGTGTGGGCCCCGGAGGAGTTGCTCTTGTCCCTCCTTGTGTCTATGAAGGTTTTCTGCGCACAGTTTATAAACTACCCAGGTTTACAAGACACACGTTATTTTATTATACAGTGATCTCTCCCCAGTACATCTAAACAAGGAAGGTGCTTAGATGGCAACGTCGTGAAGGGCACCAAATGCTTGGCAGCCCCCAGACCCAGATGTCACGGCCAGCCCACCTGCAGCTAGGAGGGCTTGCTGAAGCTCGGGCTGCCACTCTGAGCCACGAGGAGCTGGGCATGGAGGTGGTAGTTTCCTCCCCACATAAGTCACAGAACCCATCTAGAGCCTGGTTCCTGGCTGCGCCACGGCTCACTCGTGGCCCCCTTTCTGAGCACTGACAGGCTTTAGGTTCTTGGCTGTCAGGGTGAGGGTGGGGAGGGCTCCAGGAAGGTTTCCAGAGTGGCTTCACCAGGGACGCCCTCCCCGGGTCTCTTGGAGTCTAGGTCGAGGAGGGCGCACAGCTGCACGCCATCCTGGGCAAGCCGAGCCCACAGTGTGGGCGTGGTGAGGACACGCAGCTCATGCAGCCGCTCCCAGGAGCAGGAAAAAGCGTCGGGGCCCTCACCGCAGCCCCCGGTTGGAGGCACACTGGGGTAGCCAGGGTGGGCCATCAGCTCGGCTGTCAGCGTGTGGCCTGTGGGTATACCTTCTAGGACCCGAGCCAGCGCCCCTGACACGCGGTGAGCAGACATGTGCCGGCCGCAGGTGCTCAGGCCCACGAAGGCATCAGTCCACCTGTGGATGCCAGGGCATCAGCGGCAGGGACCAGCAGGACTGCGGTGGGCAGGGCTAGACTGGGGGCAGGATGGATCCGGGGTAGAGGCGACGCGATCGACGCCTGACCCCGGTAGAGGCTGAGAAACAGACACAGCTGGCCAGGTGAATCGCCAGCGGGACGCACTGGGACCTGGGCCGGGCAGAGGGCAGAGGGTGGGTGGGGGGCCTCACCTTAGGCCGTGGCGGGAGAAGGGGCCCACGGCGGCCCGAGCGTCGCGCTCCACCGCGCAGGCGAAGGCGCGAGCAGGGGCCTCGAGCCAGGTGCAGCCGCCGACGCCGCGCTCCAGCGGCAGCCGTGTGAAGCGCACCCCGCAGACCTGCAGCGCCTCGGCGAACACCTGGCACACGCCTGCGGGCGGGGCGGCGTCAGGGAGGAGCGCGGCCCCCACCCGGCCTGGGGGCGCCAACCCACGCACCTGGGAGCACGTGGACGTGCTGGTGCCCGTCCACGTGAGTGGGGTCACTGCCCAGTAATTCCCGGAAGCGGCTCAGCTGGGCCTCCAGCTCTTCCCGCACCTGGAAGGAGAGGACGACAGGCACCTTGAAGGTCCGGAAGCAGCTGCCGAGGAGGACCTCCTGCACGCGCTTCCGCGGGACTGCTCCAGTGTGTGAGCCGGGCAAGCATCCAGCGCCCTCTCTTGCACCGAACGGCTCAACGGTACCCTCGGGCGGGGCCTTCACCTCCGCACCTGGGGCATGTCCACGTCTCCGGCCGCCACTGCCTCCCGGAACCCCATCTTGCCGAGGAAGAAGCCTTCGGGGCTGAGCAGCGACGAGGTGCCGTGGCGGGCTGGGCCCACCGGGCGGCCCTCGGACAGGTTGGCGTGGAGGCCCGTGGGGATGTGGTGCCTGCGGGCGGAGCGCGAGCGGGAGCAGAGTCGGCCGCGCGGCAGCGGCGCCCCAAACCCGCCCGGACCCCGTAGGGGGCCGCCCCTCACCTGCGGGCCAGCTCCGCCGCGCTCTCCGCGGCCGCGCCGTTGACCAGCAGGGACACGCTGGTCACAGCCCCCGCCAGGAAGGCCTCTACGATGCCCTCATCGCGCCGCGGGCAGTAACCAAAGTCGTCCGCGGTGACGACCAGCCGCACGCGCGGCCGGGCCATGGGTGCCTCGGCGGGTGGCTCGGCACCAAGGGGATTGGGCTGAACAGTCCACGCCCCGCCGCGGGACGCAGCCCGAGGCCCCGCCCCGACGCACACGCCCTGACGCGGCTGCACCTCGTCTTTGTTCTCGCCACCTACAGGTCCCCGCGTGGCCCTGCAGCGACCCCCCATCACCATCCGGTGTGCTCAGCCCTCACCAGAGCATGGCCGGGTTTATTACAATGTGGAACTTCCAGTGACTGCAAAACTGATATTTAATATGAAAAATACAGAAAAGAAAACCTGAAGAAAAAAATCTCTTACTCTTCCCAGATATCGCCATCGTTCACTTTCTGGGTAATGTCCTTGCAGTGTTTTTTTCTAAGGAAATAAACACGCTCAATTTCTCTTCACCCCTACCCCAAAGTTTTTTGTGTCTTTTTGAGAAGATAATGATCACATCAATGTTATCTCATTCTTGAAATGTGTCATTTTTTTGATGGTGACTGTGAATTTTTGCATGTTTTTATTAACTATTATATTTCTTCTTTTTCAAATTCCCTATTTGTCTTTTGCTGATTTATCTAAGAGGAGGCTTTTTCTTGATTTGTAAAGCTCTAAGCAATAAGAAAATGAAAGGAAACACGTTTACTAATGGCTTCATCTGAGAAAGCCTTAGCCCGTTTCCATCTCTTGAGCTCTGTGCCAGGCTACAACTTTTACATTCGTAATCTCGTTTTCTCTGTGGTTAAGAAAAGCTTTCCTTGCTGATGACTGTATGAACAGTCACCATGGCTGACGGCCAGAGTTTTGGTTGTGATGTGGCTGTTCTGATGTTCCCAGTGGAAAGTGCAGTATTTGTGTCCAACCTGTGAGACTGGTAATGTCATTCCTCTTTTACAGATGAGAAAACTGAGGCTGAGGGAAGAGGAGTGTCTTGCCCAAAGTGATCCTGCCAGGAGTAGTAGAGCTGGGACCTGCCTCCCAAGCTGTGGGCTTGTTTTGGTCCTCTGGGCCCGGGTCAGGGGCAGAGAGGGCAGAGCCGAGCTTGAAAATAACAAGTAATATGCACCTCTTGGGGCATTGTAAGGATTGGAAGCTCGTCAAGCCCTTCACCAAGCTCTTGGAATAAGGATTGTGTTCAATTGTGATTATTAAATTGTCGGACCTCAACCATCATTCTCCACTCAGAAGCTGATCCTGGAAAGGCCAGAGGCCCTCAGGGTCTGCAGGTTGGAAGGAGGAATTTAACATTTATTGAGCACCTACTGATATTAGAAATATTAGAGGTGCTGGCCCTGTAGCTGAGTGGTTAAGTTCGTTCACTCCCCTTCGGTGGCCCATGGTTTGCTGGGTTAGATCCTGTGCACAGACTTGTCATGTGCTCATCAAGCCATGCTGTGGCAGCATCCCACATGGAAGAACCAGAATGACCTACAACTAGGATATGCAACTATGTACTGGGGTTTTGGGGAGCTAAAAAAAAAAAAGAGGAAGATTGGCAACAGATGTTAGCTCAGGGCCAATCTTCCTCAAAAAGAAAAAAGAAATATTAGAGATTAGGGGTAGTGCCTCAGGGTAAGAAGGGCTTGACGAGCTTCCAATCCTTACAATCCTACCCCCAAGGAGCACCATCTGTTAGACAAATAAGTAAATAAGTACAATACGGTGTGGCAGAGTCTGGAATAGGATTTGGGATAATTCTGTTGAGGAAAACCTTCTCCAAGGAGATGACACTTGGAAGGGGGATTGCATTAGGAGGCATTTACTGGGCAGAGGGGGAAAGCAGGGAGGAGAGGTAAGGATATACAAGATTCTTATTGGGATGCCATGTGTGTTGTATGAAGACTTGACTTAATCTCCATACTCCTATGTGGAAGGACACTCAACTCCATTTACAGAGAAGGAGCAGATGATCAGAGAGGTTGAGTCACACCGGCAGCAGAGCTAGGAATTCAAGCTAGATCTGTGACTTAGAGCCCAGACTTTCTACTGCGCTCAAGGGGACCCCTGAGGGGAGAGGGCTCAAGACAGACCCCGGGGTCATCCACACTGGGCGATGGGACTACCCTGGAAAGGAGCAGTCAGACAGCAGGATGACCAGGACGATGCAGCGATAAGAGCCGAGGAAGGTGCTTGTGTCACCGGGAGACTGGTGGCTTTCTCCCTTAGGCTCCCCTGAGGGCAGGTGCAGAGCGCGGATGGCGCTTCCTGTCTGGGCGGAGCCGGTCAACAGCATCTCCAGCCGCCGGTTCCCGCCTCGAATGTGGGCGGGGCAGAGCCTCGTAAAGTGGGGGGAGGGGAGGAACCAATGTTAGCCACGCCCCCAACCATTGTGCCGGGGGAGCTAGAGGGCGAATGGCCCGTTGTGAGCCAATCAGGACGTGGCATGTAAATAAGCAAGTGGGCTCCCTGGGGGCGACCCCAGAGCGCAGTGTCGCCGCCCTCCAGCGGGTACAGACTGCACTGACCGGCCCCGAGCGAGGCGCGGGGACTCTGGTGAGCGGGTCGGCTCTGGGCCAGGGGCGGAGGCCAGGGTCTGGGAGGAGAGAGGGGTGGACACACCCAGGCCCAGAGACCATCGGAGGCAGGATGCAGATGTCCTCGGGGACCTCACCCCCTACGATTCTGGACATGGATGGTGTGCAGAAGCCCGGGGGACTCCGAGCAGAGGAAGGGCCAGACGCACGAACGATGTGGGGTGCGGGGAGCGAGGGACCCGCAGCCCCTGGGGCCACCGACGCAGTAGCCAACGGACGGACGTAGACTTGGACTCATGGAGGCCTGGGGGGACCCTCACGCCATCTCCCCGCCCAGTGCAGAGAGGAATCCGCGGCTGCACTGCAGAACCAAAGAGAGGAGTTGGGCAGTGGGCCGGGCCACCCGCACTATGGCCAGCTGCCGCCATCACTCGGGATACTTGGCCGACGATGAGGCGGGCCACACTGCGTACATGGCCCGGGTAAGTATGCCCGTCAGGCCCTGACTCTGAGGTCCCCAACATGTTTCCCACCAGCTCTGGGCCCCAGATTACAGCTCCCCTCTCCTATTGACTTCCTCTCTGGGCCTCTTAGGTTCTTATCACCTTGACCACTCCTCTGTCCCCCTGCTGGGCCCTAGTCACCCTCAGTTTCATTCCCTGTGTCTCCCTGACCTTGGGAAGGGCTTGTGGACTGGAACCCCAGAGTGGGAGCTTGGAGTCTGCTCAGGGCCTAGGGCTCAAGTTCCAGAAACAGCCAGGAGTGCGCAGGGCTTGTGACCACAGGTGGTCTGTGCGGCCCAGCAGTGGAGACAGGGCTAGCCTGCTCTAGGACAGAGGAAGAGCCTGCGTGGGCCTCAGAGGGGTTTTGTAATTGCCCATTCACACCCTGTGTGAGGAGAGAAGCAGGCTTTCAGGCTCCCTGACCAGGTCTTGTGTACGTGAAATGCAGGTGTCAGGGAAGCTTCTGGGCAACCCTAAATAGATCCCCACTTTGCAGAAGAGGAAATTGGATCTCAAGAGGGGCCATCGTGCCCATGGGCAAACAGCCCGAATGTGACAGAGCCAAACCCAGGGCAGCCTGACTCCAAAACACAGTGCCTTCTACTGCCCACTCCCCACCCAGCTCCTAGTGCCCTAGGAGGGCCCCAGGAACCCCTTCCACTATGGGGCATCTCTCCCCACCCTGACATGCCTGTCTGCTCAGGTGCAGCCACCCAAGAAGCCACTGTTGCCGGAAATGGGGCAAGCCTCCAAGCTGGGCCACATGCCACACCCACCGTCGATGTATGGCCCCTCAGGCAGCTCAGGGCTCCGTGGCCACCGCCGAAACCTGAGAGGCCTGCAGCCCTTTGGTAGCTTTCTGGATTTCCTTGTCGAGGGCCAGGTCCTGGACAGCCTGCAGACGGTGGTGGAGGAGGCAACTGAGCGCATGGCCACTGTGAAGACAGAGGCCGGGGTGCCGCTGGTGGAGGTGCAGGACCCTATAGAGGTGCCGAGGGCGGGGCGGCGGGTGCGTGCCCGGCCAAGCCTCAGTACCGTGCACCGGCACCGTGCCCGGCCCAGCCTCTGCACCGGGCGCCCCAACAACTACCCATCCTGCTCCAGCTCTGTGTCTGACTCCCATAGCAGCTTCACAGCCGGCTGGTTGGGCTCCCGCTGCCCAGACAGTGACTTGGGAGCCCGTGGCTTGGGCCCACTGCCGCCCGTGAGGGACAAACTCCTGCTGGAGAAGAACCTCAAACGGCTGCTGCGGCTGGAGCAGAGAGGGGTGAGATCTGGGGCCATGGCTCCGGTAGGGGGGATGGACCCCAGTCCAGAGCCCAGGGCCGGGGCAAGGCCTGGCTTGGCCACTCCTGGACGCCTCTGAGAGTCTCCCTCTCTCTGCAGAAATGCCTGGGGCAGTCCTCCTCCCAGAGGAACTCTCTGCTGTGGGACTCGCTGGGCAGCCAGGCCAGCAGCCAGTGGACCCCGGAGCAGCCCCTGTCCTGGTTCTCAGGCCTGCTGGGCTCAAGCTCAGGCACGCCTGAGGCATCAGACCTGGGGCCTGGAGAGCAGGAGCTGAGCTTCCTCAAGCAAGAGTTCAACAAGGAGATCAAGTCCTTGCTGAGCCAGCCGGCATCGCTCAACCTACCAGGCTACTGTTCCCTCCTCGAGCCCCATCAGACCCTGGGCTTCCTGGCCGAGCACCACCTCTTCCCCGCCCTGCAGAATGTGGTCAGCCAGGCTGTGGATAAGTTTAGCAATGCCCGCCGCCACAATGGCTGCCCTCTCTTCCCAACAGAATGGGAATTCCCTGGGGTCAGAATTCCCACGACAGAGCCCAACTCTGGCCCAACATCAGGCTCCAAGCTGCCCATACCCACCGACCAGGAGGAACCCTGCGAGTCTCTCCACACCATACCCTCCAGCCTCAAGATGGTTCATAGAAAGAGCATCAAATACGGAGGACGGGGCAAGCTCAAGGAAGGTGCTTCCCCCGTGTCTAATGCCCAAGTGGCCACCAGGTTCAGTCTCAAGGTGACACCCACAGAAGAGCCCAAAGTCCCCTCACCCCACCCCAGGCAAGAGGTGCCCGACCAGGACCCTGAAGTACAGAGACCACCTGTGCCTGCTTCTGGGCCCCTGTGCTCCAGCCAGAGGCCCCGGCCCTGGCGGAGACTGCATCTCAGCCTGCCCGCCCCGGGGATCACTGTGGAAGTGCCCTCCAGCCAGACCCACCTGACCACCGGGGGCACAGCTCCACTTGCCTCCCCTTGCCCTCTCTCCTCCCACCACCACCCTGTATTCTCACCACTCGCCTCCTTGGTAAGAAGCTTCTCCCCATCTCCTGCTTCTCTGTATCTGGAGATGACCTCAGGGGTGGGGCTGTGGGGCTTAGGGATGGATTTGCAGGGTAAGGACTCCTCCAGCTACCACTCCTAGCAGCCACTGTCGCCGGCAGGTGCCCAAGGTCCAGGTCTCTTGCCTGCACTGTGGGAACCACCTGAGCAGGGGAAAGCTGAGGGGGGACCAGGAATCCTGGCCTAGCTACTGCCAGGTGTTGTCAAAGATGAATAAAGGCTATTTTTTATTCTGAGTATTTTTTAACGTTTGAATGTGAATCTCAGAAGCCCTCCCACGTGGGGAGGGTCCTGTCCCTTGTGGACAACAGCCTGAGCCTGGAGTGGGGCCCTGCATACAAGGTCCAGCTCCCTCTGGTCCTGCTGCCCAGGACAGGGCTCTCCAGAGTGTCTCCTTGCTGAGAGGGAGTTACTCAAGAAGGGTACAGAGAAGACATAGGTGGCTTCACCTGGTGTGTCCCCAGCATAGCCCCCTGACCCTCCTCTTGCGCCAGACATGCTTCATTCCTCTCAACCCTGGCCTGGGCAAGAACCTGCCAGATCCCAGGTTGTACAGGCTCTGCTTTGGCTAACATTGTGACCAAGGTCACCGGCCTTGCCCCAGGCCTGACTGGTGTGGCCAGCATGACGACGGTGTGGTAAGTGTGAGGGTTGGCCGATATGCACAGCTTGTGCTCAGTTGTTGCCTGGGACAGCACAGCAGGTGTGGCAAGGCCGTCCCCTTAGTACAACAGGTGTGGCGCCCATGTGGGTCATGTGGAGGGTGCTCTGGATCTGAGGGGCGTCCCAGGGCAGCATGAGTGGCATGACTTGTCTCCCTTTCCCTCCCCGGCTGCTGCACAGAGCCCCGAGTACAGGTTCCTGAAGAAGAAGCCGCTGCCCTCCATCTCGTCCAAGTCAACCATGTCCCACCTCTCCAGCCCCTGGTATGAGGAGCTCGTTAACTACTTGATGGAGCAGTCCGTCTCCTTGCTCGTCTACAAGTACAAATTTGAGAAGAACCTTACCGAGCAGCTGGGCTTCATCTCCTTCCCTGTCACTGAGGTGCTCATGGACCTCTTCCTGGGCTTCAAGAAGGTGAAGGGCTCCCGCATCCGCCTGTCCTCGAAGATTGACTGGAGCTGCCTGCTGCGCAAGCTCGAGGAGGCTGAATGGGCCCGGCCGGTGTCCTGGCAGACCCAGCACGACGCCTCCCACCTCGGCTCCTCCCAGCATAGCAGAGAGTCCCCCTCCACGCTGCCCCAGCCGGCCACCGACATGGATCAGGATGAGGCCACAGAGCCTGGCCTCGATGCTGAGTTGGCAGACCCCCAGCTGCTCACCCCCGAGAAGGATCCTACAGCTGAAGAGGAGGAGGCCGCGAGCCTGCTGCAGGCCAAGCTCTCCACACCCTCCAGCAGTGGCATGGGCTCCAATCCGTCTGAGCAGGCAGAGGACATGGAGGACAGCCGGAGCAGTGAGGATGGCGAGGAGGACAACCACAACTTCTTTGGGGACCAGGGTGAGCCCTGGGGCCCCCCCAAGGCTCAAGTGGAGGCCAAGGTCAGCCACTCCACAGAAGCAGGCCACGGTGACCCCCCGTGAGGGCGCCCATAAGTCGCACTGAGCGCTCAGTTCCCTGCTCCTCCTCCTGCTCTGTCGGAATGCTACCCACCCCACCTGCCCCTGCCCTGAGCAAAGGTCGGAAGGGCCGAACGCCCCTAGGGAGCTCTGCTGTGCCTCTCAGGGGAGCCAACGGGGCAAATAAAGCTTGTGTTGATGGAGTGTGGTTTTCTCGTCCAGAGATTACAGCCTCCCTTCCACACACCTGCACACCCGCCTTCGAGTAACACGTCCAGCGGGCCAGGTCTGACAGCTGGCCATGTTCTGACTCCCGTGACCTCACATGCTCTGCTTGAACACAAGTCCCTGCTCCTGGCCCTCTGCACCCTAGGCTGCCTCTTCCTGGCTCTTCAAGCCTCTCAGGGCTCATGGTCCTCCTCTGTCACAGCCCTTGTGCATCACAGCTCCTGCTTCTGGAGGGCTCCTCCTCTGCCAAGGTGGCTCTCCCCTCCCTTTGACATTGCACACCTTCACGTTCCGACTGAGGAACCACGCATCCACCCTCTCCTGCTGCTCCCATGCGACCTATCTTCCTAATTTGTGTTTCCCAGCCCCAACTCCTGAATCTGGAGGTTTCACACCAGGTCACATGGGGGCTGCTGGTCAGTCAAGATGTGGGTTGGTTGCTCCAGGCTGGCCACATGGCTACTTCTCCTGCAGTGGCCCTGGGCAGGCAGCTCTCTCTAGAAGGGTCTGTGGGCGTAGCTGGCGCTGTGATTGGCAGGTCTCATCTCCAAGGTTCTCCTGGGGCTTCTGGCCATCCTGTGCCACCACCAGCTCAGCACCCTCCTTCCCTCTGCCTTCCTGGTGCAGCCTGTTTGTTCCGTGTTCAGGCATCTTCACCCAGGGAGCAGCTCAACCTCTTCCACCATCATCTTGTCCTGTGGCTGAGAAAACACTTGAAGATGCTCCTCTCTGCCTCGCTGTGTAGGCACCATTGTGGGGACCCTGATGGGTCTCTACTGCCTCCCCCTGGAGCCCACCCGGGTGCATAAAGGCCATGCCTGCTCAACCCAGCCTGACCATGCTCAGTGGTCCATGGGTTAGAATACAGCAACTGTAGAGCTTCCTCTGGAGCCAGGCAGGGAGGACCTTCCACACGATACCCACACCCTGAGATTCAGGAAGGAGGACTTGCTCCCCTACCAGTCAGAGGGACCAGGGTCCTAAGGTGGCAGGGGGATCAGGGACCCATTTTCTCATAGAGCTCTTTTGGCAAGCTGAGCATTGTAATACCCATTCCCTGAGGCCACCCACTGCCACCACCAGCACAGTGGGGGGCCGTGACAGCCATTTTCATACCTTATTGCCATACCACTTGGCAACAGTTGATTGGACCTACTGGTGCATCCCTGTTCCAAGCTGGGCCAGTCAGGTTCTTTCCTGGGACCCTGCAATTGGGAGGGACTGAAAGATTCTGCTCCAGTTTGCACTAACTGCTAAAGACGAATGTGGATGGTGTGGAGCAGCCATCTTCCACTCTTCTCACAGAGTGGCAGGAATCCCGTCAGCAGAAAGGAGGGAAGAGGGGAGCCCCAAGGCTCTGAGAGACAGCAGCTGCTGTGACACCCACCAGCTCCCTAGGTCCCGCTGTCAAGTCCTCACGGGGGAAGAGAACATACTTCCTCCTCATCCTCAGAGGTACCCGTCTAGGGACTGTCCCTGGGGTGGCAGTAGCCCCTTGGGAACTACTGGCACGTGGTGCTAGAGACATCTGACCTGAGCTCCTGTGTCAGGTATTTGGCGCTGTGTAACCACTCCCAGACTTAAGTGGCTTCAAAGAAAATCATTTGTCACAATGCTGGGTTTTGACAGGCTCAGCTGGTAGCAGTAGCGGTGTAGGCAGAGTCGCCCATGTGGCTGCTTCCAGCTGGGGGCTGGGCTGAAGCTGGAACATCTCACATGGCCTCTCCTCTTCCAGTGTTTCTTTCCACGTGGCCTCTGACCATTCAGTTGCCTGCCTGCACTTCCTTATAGCACGGGGCCGCAGCTGGTTTCCCAGAGGGAAGAAACAAGACCCACCGGCGCTCTCACAGCCTGTGCTCAGGAGTCCCAAAACAGCACTTTTGTGGCATTCTCTGGTCAAAGCGAATCACAATGCCTGCCCAGATTCAAGAGGAGGGGAGACGGACTCTGCGTCTTCACAAGAGGCGCGGCTTGCACTCACAGGATGGGAGGAATTGTTAGTAGCCACATTTGGAGACTAGCTACAACACACACCCCTGCCCCCGCCCCCCATAGCTGATCGCACCTTGTGCCGTCCCTGGAACCAAGTTGAGTCACTCAGATTCTCCCTTGAGAATCTGAACCTGAAGGCAAACTGTGGCTGACAGGTAGAGGGCCCTGGTGATATCATAATTGGCCCGGAGCATCTGCCCATAGGATGAGCTGGGGAAGGCAGGAAAAGAGAACAGCTACGAGAAGCCATGAGGCTCCACGAGAGTCAAGGGAAAGTCACATTGGCTTCCTCTACTCCAGTTCTGGGGTCTCTGCTGTACTTGGAATCCTGTCTTTGCCTGAGGTTGCCTCAGGAGGTTGCCTGCTGTGTCCTCACCACGCTCTGGCCCTACGTGCAAGAGGAAGTTATTGGCAATTTTCAGCAGGTGCCTGGTGTGGTCTGATTTATGCTTTGTAAAGAAGGCACAAATCGCTTTTCTTTATGGAGAAAGTCTTGGAGGGGCCTGACTAGTGGAAGCAGGAAAATCTGTTAGGAGATGGAGGTAGATATCTGGTGGGGAGATGGGGTGGCTTGGATTAGGGTGGTGCTGGGGGACACAGGAGAGATACCTCACGGTCTGTTTGAGAGTCACAGCCATCAAGACATGTTGGATTAGATGTGAGGAGTGCAGGAAAGAGAGGAAATGCAAGTGAATCCCACACTTTGGGCTTCAGCAACTGGTGAACAGAGGTGTCATTAGGCCTGGACGCCTCAGCGTGGAACAGTTCGAGGAGGAGACCAGGTATTCTGCCTTGGACATATTCACTTTGAGATGCTGGTTGGTATGTCCAGAAGGACAAATCTATTGCTTCCCAGATTGTACTCTAGCCCTCCACCTTGGATTGGAGGTCCCTCAAGCGCAGGGTCTGCCAAATCCAGGGCAGACCTTTAGCAATTTAGACACTCTAAGCACCAAAAAAATTGAGGTGTCTTATCGAAGTAAAAACAATATTAAACATGAAAACCCTAAAAAAGCATGTTGCTGTAATAAAATGGCTCTACTCTGGATTTTCTGAATGCAAAATTCTAGTTGATTTAATGAAACATGAACTTTTCTCCCTGCTTTGCTGGTGCCCCAGGTGCATGGGTAGATCAGCCTATTGGGTAATGCAGCCCAGAGCCAGCTCCCCCGTCCCCACCACAGGGCCTGGAGTGAAGTCAACATAAGAGTGTTCACTCTTATGAACACTCACATGAACACACAGTGGTGTGAGTTTCCCCACCTTGAGCTGACAGCCCTCTGACAAGGCATTGAGACCAGGACCCACTCAAGTCTGAAACCTGGGACACACTGTCACCCGGGCTTGGTTCCCACAGTCATTTGGTCTCCCACGTCTCTGGTTTTCTAAGACAGCTTTGGGGCTTTCTGGTGAGAAAATGCCATTATCCTCAACACCACAGTTCCCTACTGCCCTCTGCTGCCTAATGACCTAGTGACCATGAGATTCTGCCGGTGACCCAATGGCAAAGAGGGGGCAATGACCGAGTGACTGGGGTTCAGGGACTGAAGGACCAGGTGATTCAGTATCTGAGATCTGTCGACTTTTTGACCGCAAAATCTAGTGGTCGAGCAACCTCGAGACCCAGTAGCTTCGGACCCAGGGTCCGAGGGAGAGGCATGTTTGAGGGCCCAGGCATCCAGGATTAAGGGGACTTCGTCGGGGCCAGCCCCGTGGCCGAGGGGTTAAGTTCGTGCGCTCTGCTTCGGCGGCCCAGGGTTTCCCCGGTTCGAATCCTGGGCGCGGACATGGCATCGCTCATCAGGCCATGCTGAGGCGGCATCCCACATACCACAACTAGAAGGACTAGATGGACCAGGAGGCTTTGGGGAGAAAAAAAGAAAAATAAAAAATCTTAAAAAAAAAAAAAAAAAGGGGGGGGACTTCGTGATCACGTGCCAGCAGGGTCGTCGGACCCTGAGCCGGGGAGTCCAGGGACTCAGCGGCGGCTGGGTAGGGTGCCCCCACCTAAGGCTGCTCGCCGGCAGCTCTCCCACCGTTTGGTGCCGCACCTGCCTTCTCTTGGAATTCATTGGTGAAGCCTCTCAAGCGTGGACCAATCAAAACCCTCCTCGTGTCTCCAAGCCCCCTCCCCACTGCCGCTCTCGAAAGCTGGGGGCGGGTCCCCTCCACGCCGACCCAATGACAGTCCAGGCGGAACGCCGTGCGCGCCGGCGATTGGCTGCTGCGGTGGGCTCTGTCAGAGCCGGATTGGCCGGCGGCGAGGACGGAAGCGGCCCACGGGCCGGAGCTGCCGGAGCCGGGCCGGGGGGATGTGGAGCGCGGGCTGCGGCCGAGCTGCCGGACCGGTGTTGCTGGGGCTGCTGCTGGCGCTCTTGGTGCCGGTCAGCGGTGCCTCCAAGACCGGCGCGGGGCCCGTGACCTGCGGGTCGGTGCTGAAGTTGTTCAACACGCAGCACAGGGTGCGGCTGCACTCGCACGACATCAAATACGGATCTGGTGCGTGGGGCCCGGGGCTGGGATTTGGGAGGCGGGGTGGTCGGGCCGAAGGGTCTGCGGGCTAGGGGTCTGGGGGTCATCAGGAAACCGGGCCAGGGGGCTGGGTTGTTGGAAGACCAAGGGGGACAAGGACTGGGGGTTTGAGGGGGTCCTCGGGATATTGGGGGCCAGGAGAGTCGTCCGGGAGCTTCAGGCCAAGGGATTTGGAGTTCAGCCGGGGGCCAGAGGGGGGCCTGGGGGTGAGCCGTTGGGGTCCCAGGGTTGAGGTTGTCCGGGAAAGTTTATGGTGTCCTGGCCGAGCGTTCGGAGTTCCGAGATTGACGGCGACCCCGGATGGGATGGGGTGTCGCCCCTCAGGCAGCGGCCAACAGTCGGTGACCGGCGTGGAGGCATCTGACGACGCCAATAGCTACTGGCGGATCCGCGGCGGCTCGGAGGGCGGGTGCCCGCGCGGGTCCCCGGTGCGCTGCGGTCAGGCCGTGCGGCTCACGCACGTGCTAACCGGCAAGAACCTGCACACGCACCACTTCCCGTCGCCGCTGTCTAACAACCAGGTGAGACCCCCTCCACCAGCCCTAGGAGAGGCTCCTGGTGCGTCTATGAGGACCAGGGAAGGAGCCTTGACTCTTCTCACCTGCTCTGAGCATCAGCTTCCTCTGTGAAACGGAAATTTCAATTCCGAAACGTTTACTGAGCGCCTCCTCTAGCGACACAGAGGTGACTCGGCCAGGGTCCTGCCCGCAGGAGCTCTCAGCCCAGGGAGGAGACAGACAAGGAAGAGCGATCTGGCTGGATAGCTCTACTCCTGGGGGGCCAGTTGGACCCAGGAGGGGGATCCACATGGCCTTTGGGGGGGGAATGGAGTGGAGGAATTCAGGCTGGGTCTGGAAGGGTGAGTAGGAGTCCTCCAGGCCACAGAGAAGACAGTGTCTTTCCAGGCCTGGGGAACAGCTTGTGAGTGGAGTTCACTGAAACTGGACCGGGAAGGGGAGGAGTGGAAGGATGTGTAGGGGGTGCTAGCAGGGAGGGAGTGGGGTGGAACAGAGGGTGCTTTGGGGGGGTTGTCAGCAGAAAAAGTATGAGATAAATAGAGACCTTGACTGTCAGCCTGAGGGGTTGGACTTTATGCTGAGCCGGAGTCTGAGGGGTCAGGGCAGGGAGAACAGAGAGGAGGAGGCCTTAGCTCCACAAGGGCCAGTGGTCACCGCTCAGACGGAGAGGGTGGGCTGTGCATGTATTAAAGAGCCTGTGTTGGGGAAGGCCTAAAGGGTGCTGGAGGTGGGAGGTGTGGTGTCCTATTTTGCAGCTGTGGAAGCTGAGGCTCAGAGAGGTGTAGGGAATGACCCAAGGCCCAGTGCCCTGGGCATGAGTGCTGCTGCCCGGCAAGTGACCACAGGGGACTCATTGTGCACTCTGTGGTGACCACTGTCCTCTCGCCCCTTGCGCTTCTAGGAGGTGAGTGCCTTTGGGGAAGGTGGCGAGGGCGACGACCTGGACCTGTGGACGGTGCGCTGCTCAGGGCAACACTGGGAGCGAGAGGCCGCCGTGCGCTTCCAGCACCTGGGCACCTCTGTGTTCCTGTCAGTTACCGGCGAGCAGTATGGGAACCCCATCCGTGGGCAGTACGAGGTGCACGGCATGCCCAGTGCCAATACGCACAATACGTGGAAGGCCATGGAAGGCATCTTTATCAAGCCCAGTGTGGATCCCTCTGCAGGCCACGATGAACTCTGAGTGCCATGGATGGGTGAATGGAGGGGCAGGGTGTGGTGTCTACAGGGCCACTCTTGGTGGGGACTTTGGGTTTGTAGGGATTTTTAAGTGCCTTTGTTGATTAAAGAATGTTGCTCTGTGATTGTGTTTTGTTGCAAGCTTGGGGGTGACCAGGAGGTGCCCACCCTCCCTGGCCCAGTTCACCATGTTTTCCTCAGTGCGAAACCTCTGTCTCTAGCACAGCCAGACAGCTGAACCCGTCCAAAGGTTTTTGATGCTCTTCCATGCACTCCAACACTGCTCCGGACCATCACAGCCCCACTATCCAGCCTTTGATGATCTGATGGCAAGTGACTCCAGTTCCCAGTCCCTGAGCTCCATGAACCTTCCTGTTAAGGGCTAGGGCCAGGGTCAGGGCCTCAGAAGGATGAGTGGGAGCCCCGCTTCTTGCCAACAGGGATGGGGCACAAGCTCCCTTGTCCCTCATCCCTTGAGGTGAGGCCCCCCCCCCCCATTCTCCTGGCACCCCTCCCCTAACAATTGCAATAGTCTTGACACTTGTCTCTGAGCAAACATCAGGCCGGGACTCTGCCCATCTCCTAGAAATTAGCATCACAGATTCCCTCACTCTTGGTGCAGATGGCACCCCAGCCTGCCCAGGCATGTGGCATCTCAGGCCCCCACTACAACCTTCCAAGGTCCCAAGGAGATAACAAAATTTCAAAAGATGGCAGGGGAAGGTAACCGCAGAGAACTGCTACCTGCAGAGATATGAGCAGGCTTCTTGGAAGGAAAGGCACAATTTGGGCAGGCAAAGTATTACAATTTAAAAACAGGAGCAATAAATAGGAGGGTCCTAATAAAGGAAGGTAGTTGTTAGTTTCACTGGTGTGTGGGTGCCCTCTAGAGGTCATAATGGGGATTACAGGCTTCCTGGACTTGCTAACTAGGCCCCGGTGGGGCTGTGTTGAAGGAGGGGCTTAGAGAGGGTGCCACTTTCCTGAATGAGAATGAAAGAGTCCAAGGAGAGGCTGGGGGTAACAACTGGTCGCAAGGGGCCTGGAGGAGTGTGGACAGAGCACCTTACAGTTGAGAAATCAATTGACCTTCCAGGGGTGGGAGAAAAGCTCTAGCCAATTTGAGGCCTGAGGGGAAGGAGGGTCCTGTGGAGGCCTTGGGCCCATTACCCCTCACCCTTCTCCTCCAGGAGCTGCTGCTCTACTCAGACACAGATCCCCTCCTGAGGCCTCCCCTGCCAACCTCTTGAGCACTGTCTACAAGCCTACACTCCTCTCCCGTCACTCACCTGCCCTGAGACAGGATTGGAGTGCAAGGAGATTGTTGGGAGGTGCTCCCAGAAAACACTGGTGCAGAGGGGTCGGGCCGTGGGAGGAGAAGGGAAGGCAGCTGGGGAAGGTGGAATTATTGAGCGAGTTACCCCTGTGGGCAAGTGGAGATTATACCACCGGGGAGCTCTGGAATCCAGGTCAAAACCTGAAGGCACAAGGAAGCAGGGCAGGGGGGTGGAGTGGGGGGTAATTATCCAACCAAAATGTCTTCCGTCATTGGCTGAGGCTGCGGGTGAGAGCTGGGGGGGAATGACTGTGGCACTTCCCGCCGGCCCTGCACATTGGGAAGTGTACGTGAGGGCTTTATTCTGCATCCAGCTTAAGCCCTCAAGCACAGCCACAGGTGCTGGCAGGGAACATCTTTTCCGCAGAGGTGATTGCCAAGGGGGTGTGGGCAGGGCACCCACAGTGTGGATTACGCTCTGCAAATCCAAGGGGGTACTCTTTTGGTCCATCCCTGGCTGCTCCGGGCTGTAAGAGTCCACTTCTGCCTCTATGATCTCCCTACAACCACACACACACATCAGTGAGGAGTGTTAATTAAGAGCAGAGTCAAACGGTGCACAGCATGTAGGAATCCTTGGGAAATCAAGGTCGAAGCTGTGGGAGCAGGTGAGATGGCTCTGGGCAGAATGTGGGAAAAGACCAAAAATTAAAACTGCAGCAGCAGCAGAGCTATTTATTAAACACTAAGTGCCAGGCGTTGGGCCAAGGATTTACACAGCACCTCATTTGCTCCTGGCAACAACCCTATGAAGCAGGTTCAATTACCATCTTAATTTTGCAGAGGAGGCAGCCGAGGTTTGTAAAGATTCAAACCCAGCTCCGCCCGCCTCAAAAAAATTTGCTCTCAACCACTGGACTGAGAGAATAAAACAGGAGGGGGTCCAGATGCACAGCGGCCTAAGCGTTGCAACTATGTGGGGGTCGGGCAGTGTATATCTTTCCAGGTGATCAGCCCAGGGTAAGCACTTAATGAATGCTTATCCGCGAAGTGGATCGCAATCACGCGGGGACTCCAGCCGACATCCCTTTCCCAGTACCTCCCACAGATCCACAGGGCTCCACGTGCTCCAAGACAGCTCTCAGCCGCCCAGGCCAACCCGGGTGGCTTCAGGCAAATCCACTCTGGTCAAGCTGGGCGATGCGGTTGGGTTGGGTAGGGAGGGGGCTACCCTAGCCAGAAAGCCCACCGCCCCCAAACGTTCGTCCAGGAGGCACAGGGGGAGCAATTTCTGCTTGGAAAACGGAGCAGTCTGCGGCCCTCCTCCACAGCCGGCTTGACCGCGGGTTCAGGCATTTTTCTAGGGTCGCAGCCACTTCCCCAGTGGGCTCAGCACCCCCGGCCGCGCCCCTCATTCGGCTTCCAGACACTCTTGTCCGCGCTCCTAGAAACCTCGCAGAGACTGAAGCTGAGAAAAGGCGGGCAAAGTCGCTGTTGATAAGTTATGAATGGGGAGAAAGAGTTTGTAGAACTCATTGTTAAAACCACGGAGCCGGAGACTCTGCCCGCGCCCGGCCAATCCGGGCCCGGAGGCTATTTTGAAATCGCTCCAGTCTCAGCCAATAGGCGTGCGGGAGGCGAAGCCCCGCGCCGGCGCCGGCCAATGAGCGCGGCGCTATGCTAAGGAGCCGGGGCTGGGCCCCGCCGACTGTCAGCAGGTTAAAGATGGAGCAGGCGGGCGAGAGGGCGCCACGAGGTACAGGGTCGTCCGGGTGGGGACGACGGGGGCACACGACCGCCAGGACCTCTCTCCCACTAGCCTTCCGCGTCCTGCCGCAGCCCTGCACGAAAGGGGTGTCCTGCCGCGTGAGTAGCACGGTCTGGGCTAGGGGCCCGGCTAAGGCGGCCCTGCCCGGCGGGACTGTGAGAGGCGCAGACGGACCCTGGCGCCCTTTCTGGGCAGGGGACTCCAGAAGGGCGGGAAGGCTTCCCTTTTCTCTGCTCCGCTTTAAGTGACTGGGCAGAGAGTCTGTTAGGACAGAACGCGGAGCCCAAGTTGGGGGCCGGGAGCTAGTGATGGGGGCCTGAGCCGGCAGGGGCGCGTCGTCCCGGAGTGGGGCCACCCTTCTTGTCCCAGAGCCGGGTGAAAGCGCAGGGTCGTCGGGCTGCACCTACCCCCGCTCCGGGCGCGAGTGGGCTTCGGACTGCGGTGGAGCGCGGGCACTCTCCTTTGTGTGTACGCACCCTTCCCCCTATCCGCTCCGACTCCGGGGTTGGAGATACTCTTCAGTCTGGGTTCTTTTCACCGCAATCTGGAGCGTGCCGGGGAAAGTCCAGGTGCTCTGGCGTCCTGAGGACCCCAGGACGGCAGGCCTGCTGAAATCCCCGTCCCTGCCCTGGTGTCCAGCATAGGGCCCCTAGCCCCACCCACCCATGTTTGAGCTTCCCGCCCTGCGTGCATTGGGGACGGTGGGTCCCTCCTGCTGGCCGCAGGTGCTGTGACGATGTTGCACTACTGTGCTCTGAGAAGCAGTGCAATGATATTGTCAAAGCATCTGGGACTAGCCTTGGGGACCTCCCTTCCCCATACTTCCCTTTCCCCTCCCCAGGCCTGGCCCCTTAGGCTTGCAGACCCTGCCCTCCCCCCTGCCCAGCTCACTCCCTTCTCCATGGAAACTTGAGATCCTGGCCAGGCCTGGGCCTCTGAGGTCAGAGGGCACCCTTTCCCCAGGCAAAGGCCCTGCCCCAGTGGACCTGCATTCCAGGTCTCAGATCCCTAACTGACCACTGGAGGAGAAGCGCTGGCAGGCCTGCCTGACACTCTTTCCCTGTTGCACTACTGTGGGCTGCTGGAAGCAGTGCAATGATGAAAGGGCATCGGTCAGGCCCAGACCCCCACCCACAGCACTTCTGAGGAGGGAGTTTTGCAGCCTGGGTCCACTTCCCAGTGATGAGGGGCAGTTGCGGAGCTGGGCTGGACCCTCCGTCGGAAGATCAGGTGAGTGCAGAGCTGGGGAATCGCCCCACAAGCGCTCCATCTGGGTCATGGTTAGACAGGTGTAGGGGCAGAGGCCCCGGATTCAGAAAAGCTCTGGTTTGAAGAGGATCTTTGTACACCAGCTACTCAGGCAAGACTGGGGACTCCAGATTTGGTCAGGGCCACGTGCAGAAATAGAGGCCCACTACTTTGTATGGGGGGGTCTGTCAGGGCCTGACTCAGACCCGGCTCAACCTTGACCATGTGGAGGTGAACTGGATCCAGCCGATCTTGAAGGCTTGGGGAAGGCCAGGCTCTGGAGAGAATGTTCTCCTGGGTTCTCAGCAGGAGCAGTACTTTCTGGGGTGGGCGGATCGACTTGGGATCCGAAGCCTGCAGGTGATGCCCACCAATCATGCCAGCTTGTTCTCTTACAGGGAGATCTGCTGCCCTGAGCCTGCAGGGGGCACTGTGGTGCCTGGCACGCCCACCCTCGCAGGTGGAGTTGGGGATGCTGGAGGTGAACTGCCAAGAGGCCTGGCCCCAGGTGTGCTTGAAGGGCCACCTCCACCATCAGGACCTGACACAGTGCAAAACCCGTGACAGTTATTCAAGCCTGTCTCTTTGAGAGGAGGCCCAGGTCTCCAGATGGGTGTTTGGGAGTACCCCTCACCCCGGGTTGACCACATCAAGACACTAGCTTCACCTCCACCCTGGGGGTAGAAGCCCTGGCATCCATGGGGAGGGAGAGAGATAAAGACACATGCTCATCTGAGTCCTAGGCCTGGCCCCTTGAGTTCCTCCATCCCAAGGTCACCTGACTCAGGCCTGTCCTCCCTTCTCCTGGGCTCCAGGTGCCATGGCTAGAAGTGGCCACCCTTACTTCTGTGCAGATTCTGTACCCACTGGCTGGAGACCCCCTTGCAGCTGTTTCCTGCCCTTGCTTGGGGAGGCTTGTTAACTCAGGGCTCTGCTCGAATGTTCCCTCCTGGGGGGAGCCTTTCCTGGGCTCTACGTCATCCGGTATCCCTCCAGCAAAGCCTGCCAGGTTGCAATTTTCTCTTTGTGGCTGGAGTCCTCATTAGACTGGGAGCCCCTGAGGGCAGAGACCACGTCCTTTTCTTTTACTCTTGGCAGTATCCTACACAGAGGAGGGACCCAAAACACTTTTAAAAAAATACAAGTAGATATATAAAGTGTGAAGTATTGTTAGCATACCATGATGGGGGAGGGGTGAATCAAGAGTCTGCTTGACTCCTCAGAGGGTGCTTGTCCTGTCTATAAAAAGGCACATACTAAATATTTTAAAGTCAAGCCTCATTTTGTAAGTCACGTGGGGTCAGAAAGTGGAATGGAGATCTGAATCCAGGTGTACCTGTCTGCCTGCACCCCTAGGCAAACACACAGGCCGGACTTCTTCCTCCTTGGTTGTCTCCACCTTGCTCTCTGACCTCAAAGCAGGAGGAAGTGGGAGCCACCTCCTGTGTTGGAGAGAGCTGAGCCTAGGGGGCTGGTGATTTGGCGGCGGGAAGTGAAAAATCTCCTTAGACTTCTCAGGAATGCTCCATGGATCTCAGGGTGGGGGTGGGGGGGATGTGGGGACAGGAAGAAGCAGTCCAGCGTGCACCCCCTTCATTAGTGACAGGGGCGAGTGGTGATGTCAGTGCTGACCAAGTAGGAGATAGGGAAAAGAAGCAGGTTTGGGGTGGGAGGAAAGAAGTTGTGTGCCAGTCTGGATGTGTTCAGCATGAAATGCCCAAGAAACGTCGCTTTCGGACACTTAGATGTGGGTCTGGAGCTCAGGTGAGGTCTGAGCCTGAGACGCAGGTTAGCGTTAGTTAAGTCACCTCTGGGTGGGGACCAAGAAGGCAGTAAGATTGACCAAGATGTTATAGTGAAGAGAGGAGGACCTTTTGAAACGGGTAAGGAGGGGCTGGAGATGCCAGTCAAGAGGCCACCTCGAGTAGGGAGCAAAGAAGCGGTTATGAAGGGGAGGAGAGGACAGAAGCTGGAGAGGGGTGGTGCTAGATGCTAGAGAGTAAGTCAGGAGAGGAAGAGGGTGAAAAGTCCGGGGATAGAGGAGTTAGGGGCAGACTGAAGTCCTTGCGGTGTTGTCTACAGACCGTGAAGATGGGGAGCAGCCGGGAGAGGGAGGAGACTAGCCTCTGGGCTAGCCGAGGGATGAAGGCTTTGAAGAAGTTGGAAGAATCAGGGTGTGGACCATGTTCCTGGCGTGGCCATTGGCCAGCACCTCATCAAAGTCCTGCTGGATCCCAGCAAAATCCTGCCTCTGTCCAGCGCAGCAGCGTTCGCCCCGTCGAAGGCGCGACAGCGCATGCCCAGAGCGGGGGAGAGGGGCATTGTCACGTGTGGCCGTCTCCCGGGGATGGGCCCCGCCCGCGGCCTCTGGGGGGATTGGCTGGAGCGGTCGGGCGGCGGAGGGAGCCAGCGGCGGCGCAGTGGCGGTGGGGCGGCGAGCAGGTACGTCCCGGCGGCCCGGGGTGACCTGAACCCGGGCACTCGGGAGCGGCGCCTGTGCCCCGGCCCGGGGCGGGTGGGGGCGGCGCGCCCCGACCCCGGGTGGCCCCGCCCGACGTGGCTCCGCCTGCAGGCAGCTCCTCTCAGATGGAGGTCCTGGACGAGTTCGACAGCGAGTTCCCCCAGAGCGTGACCTTCTGCCAGCTCATCTCCGAGGAGGACTTCGAGAGGCAGGCGGCGACCTACACCGAGCGCGCGCTGCGCCGCCTCTTCCGCAGCATCGACCGCAACCCGGCGCTGGCCGAGCGGGTGGTGCGCAAGAGCAAGCAGGCCGAGTGCGAGCGGCGCGGGATCCTCTCCTTCCTCTGGGTGCGGGCCGGCGGGCGGGCTGCGGGGAGGGGGACCGGAGGGCGAGTGCTGTCACCACCCTCGCCTGCTGCCGGCCAGGGCGCGGCTGGGGCATCGAGGTTGGGAGGGGGGCGCCGTCGGGCCTAGCTGGAGCTGCAGGCTAGTAGGGTTTCCCAGAGGCCTGAGGCGGCCCGGCTTGAGGAGTGCAGGGGGCGGGCGTCTCACCCGCCCGGCTTCCTCCTGCTGTTGTCGTAGGCGAAGTTCTTCTGTGCCGTCCAGGGGGAGCTGAACTGCTGCAACAGTATGGGCGCCGCGGAGATGCGTCAGCGCCTGGAGCAGCTGAAAAGGAGGATCCACCGCGCGCACGTCTACTCCCAGGGTGGGGCTCACCCTCTGCCTGGCTCCAGCAAACCTGACCCAGGACCCCTCGTCGCTTTGGCACTTTAAAAAAAAATGGGGGGTTTATTTTTAAAGTCAACACTCAAGTACCTTTCACCTGCCATCAGCAACCGTCCCCATCTCACCAGGCTTATTTCGCTCTCTAGACCCCCTTTTTCTTTTTCTGGAGCATTTTCAGGGAAATCTCAGACATCGTTGTATTCCTGAATACTTTAGAATGCTTCTTAATAAAAAAAAAAAGGACAGTTTCTGACATAATTACAATATTACAGCTGACATGGTTGACATCGGTTCCCTAATAGTAGCTGATACTTACCTAGTCCGCAGTCAGAACTCCCGGGCAGTCCACAAAAATCTTCCTGCACTTTGTCTGTGACATCAGGACCCACCGAAGCTCAGACGCTGTGTTTGGGTGCTAGGCCTTGTAGGTTCCTACTCACTAGGGTGAACATATAACTTGTGTCCATATTGGGACACTTGTAAGAGCAGAATGAATGGGGGCCATCTTAGTGACCCCACAGGGATGGCAAACAAGGATCTGTGGCCAGGTCTGTGGAAGCCCCTTTCGAGGTGGGATACCCTTACTACCCACCCCCCATGCCACTGACTTGAAGAACTGGGTTGTCCTTTGGAGTATCCCACTTTATGAGTTTTTGTCTGTTGTTATGGCCCACTGGTGGTGTTTGCTTGGTCCCCCTCTGCCTGTATTTCTTGGACAGGTGCTCTAAAGCCTTGATCAGGTTCAAGTTCAGTTCTTTCCGTGCGTTTGTGTTCAGTGATACACTACACTAGTGGTGGGGCGACTTTCTTCTGCATCCTGTCGGGAGGCCCAGCTCCCTGGGGGTCGTACTTTCCATGATGCTGATCGTACGGGTGCTTTACATCACCGTTTCATCCGACGGCTGGACCACAGCACATGTGGCTATTACCCGAGGTGACATCAGTGTTATGTGGCTCTTACCCGAGGTGACATCAGTGTTATTTATCTTTATTTTATAGAAGAGGAAGTAGAGGCCCAGGGAGGTTGGCCAACATATACAAGGTCACATAGTAAGTAGGAGAGCCTAGACTTGAACTCAGGTCTTGGGTACTCCAGGGTGCAGGCTCTTAGCCTTCAGGCCAGTGCTCCCTGGTGGTGGTTATTGTCACTCTAAATGAGCCACTCTGACGGGCTGTATGAGGAGCTTGTTAACACCCACTTGCTGGTGGTCTCCAACTTTGGACAGTAGAAATAGCTAGATTCATCAAATCCGGTAGAAAGACCTAACATGGAAGGAGGAGAGGGGGCTTGCTTCAGAGTTCTTCCCCTCAAGAATTCCTTCCCTGAGCCCACCTCTGCAAGACCTCCTCCATGCGGGTTTCCTTAGAGAGGAAGGGCCCTTTGTAGACCCCCCAGGATTGCCCTGGGGCTGGTGTAGTCAGCGGGCTCACAGTTCAGCACCTGGATACCCCATGAGGGTGCTGGCAGACTCAGGAGCTTTCCACGAGACTTGAGGTGGGGGTGGCGGGTGAGTGACCCACCTGTCTGGGGCCAAACCCAGCCCTCTTTAGGGTGACACTCATCACTTCCCGTGAAATTCTGCCCTTAAAGTCAGACAGTCCAGGCGTGGCGGATCCTACCTGTGCCTTGTACAGTTGGAGCTCCCAATTCTGCTTGTAAGATAGACGCAAAAGGACCCTTTCCCCGTGGGGTAGTTGTGGGCTTGGTGAGATGGTGCCTGTTGGCGCCTATTGACAGCGGGTCCAGGCATTGGTGTGTGGTGCCCTTTGGGAGCCTGCCTCCCTTCCTTGTTGGAGGGACTGTGTGAAGACCCCACACCACTGTGTTTGGCCCCCACTCTATCCTGTTCTGGCCATGGGGTAGGCGCTCACTGGCACCTTTTTCACAGATGCCAGGAAGAAGAGAAGGAAGCCAAGATTGAAGAAACCACAACCTATCCTCCTGCGAGAACAGTCGACCTCCCCGTGCCTGCCACCAACCCTGCTGCCACCTCCACCACAGCCACCACCTGCCACCACTATGGCCTCCGTGGTGGCTCCGTCACCTGTCTACACTATGCCAAGGGTCTTTGGTCCTTTCCCTCCGCTGCCCAGCAAGTCGGTCAGTGGGCACATCTCCCACTCCATGTGGCCCTGGGAGGGGCACTCTGCCCCCCTGCTCAGAACCACCACAGCAGCTCTCCCAGACCCACAGCAGTGGCTCTCAGAACTTTGTTTTAAACAGCAGAACACTCTCTGCTAGCAGTCTTGAGTGGAGCCATGCTGGATCAAGTAGATAGAAGGGGGGCTGCTCTGGTTGGAGAGTCAGGGTGAGGCTGAAGGCACAGCTCCACCTGCTGGCCTCAGCTGAGCAAGGCAGCCCCAAGCATCCTGGGCGGAATCCTGGGGTTCCCAAAATACGGGTGGAGAACCAGCTCCCCCCACCCCATGTCTCCAGCCCCATGTCCACCTCTCCCTCTGGGTGTCCTCCTCCACGCCCCCGTCTAAGTGCCTCTGTAGCGCCCTTCCTAACCACCTGCGCCTCCTGACTCCCGCCTGTTCTACACTCTCACACCAGGTAGCGCCCATCCCCCAGGCTGGGTCAGGACCTCTTCAGTCGGCTTCCAGCCCCCATCCCGTCCCTTGTCCCCCTGACACAAAACTCAAGGTGGACACCGAGGATGAGCCTGACATATTTGCTGATTGAATGAAAGCCACATAGTTCTCACAGTTCTTGTATAAGGTGTTTTTCTTCACGGTGAGGCCCCCAAAGTTGTTCTGAGATTTCCTTTGTTTCTTGCAGATGGAAAAATTGGAAGTTTCAAGGTCTGAAGTGAAATTAAACTGGACTGGCCTGTCATCAAACCCAAAGAGGTGGAAGGAGTTTATTCTGGGCTTGAGGCAAACGAAAAAGGAGCATTTGGGAGAGCCCGTTGTGTGCCATGCTCGGTTGCCATTTCTTCCCCACCTCTGAGTTAATCCTCACCACACTCCTGAATGGTGGCTATTCTCATTCACAGGGGAGGAGTCCAGGCTACGAGGTCTGCTCTGTGTACAGGAGTCCCTGTCGCCTGTCACAGACATGTGCTCTGAGGCTGGGGAGGGCCTGCTTGGGAGGAGACCAGAGCTGACGTCCCGTGTCCACCCTCCCTTGTCTTGCAGCTGCATGGTTGATCTGACCCCCTTGGTCCTCAACCCCGGAGGCTTCCATTTCTCGTACCTGGCCAGAAGCAGTGCGCACAAGCTCCATTGCTCTGCCTTCCCCTGGTAAGCGAGCCTCTGAGCCTCCCTGGGGCGGGACGCCGTCCTGGCCTGGCGCCTGCCCTGCTTCTCACTGGGATCATGGCAGTGTGTGTGAGGGCCAGAAAAATGTTCAGTATGATGGTCCTTTCCACTTCCAGGAAGGACCCTAATGTAATCAGGGGTGCTGGAAAAGTTGCTCCCCCTTCCTAGTGTTTGTAATGGCAAGAAATCGGAAACAAAGAGCTCAGAGGCCCACCGGAAAGGGAACAGTTCCATCAACCCCGGGCGGCCCTATGGTTTATACACCTGCCTGTTTCGCAAAGCGGGGATTTATGGTATTGTGAAGTATTTCCTGTGACATTGATGTTATTCCAAAGTATGATTTACACTGACTGTTTCATTGCAGCAGGTGACTTTTGTAAAGAAAAATAGAGGGGCCGGCCCCGTGGCTGAGTGGTTAAGTTCGCACATTCCGCTTCGGCGGCCCAGGGTTTCGCTGGTTCGGATCCTGGGTGCGGACGTGGCAGCGCTCATCAAGCCAGGCTGAGGTAGCATCCCAGATAGCACAGCCAGAAGGACCTACAACTAGAATATACAACTATGTACTGGGAGGCTTTGGGGAGAAGAGGAAGAAAAAGGAAAAAAATAAGATTGGCAACAGATGTTAGCTCGGGGCCAATCTTTAAAAAACACAAACACCTAAATTGTTTTTTTAAAAAGACTATTTTTTAGAAGAGTTTTAGATTCACAGCAAAATTGAGCAGAAAGTTCACATATGCCCCTTGCCCTCCCCCCACAGGCACACCCGCCCCGTTATCGACAGCCCCCACCAGAGTGGTGTAATTGTTACACTGATGAACCTACACTGACACAGCATTATCACCCAGAGTCCACAGTTTCCGTTAGGCTCTCTCCTGTTGGACACTCGATGGGCTTGGACAATTGTATAATGACCTGTATCCACCATCATAGTGTCACATAGAATAGTTTCACTGCCCTAAAATCCTCTCTGCTCCACCTGTTCCTCCCTCCCTCCCCACTAGCCCTTGGCAGCCACTGATCATTTTACTGTCTCTGTAGTTTTCCCTTTTCCAGAATGTCATAGAGTTGGAATCATACAGTCTGTAGCCCTTTCACATTGCCTACTCTCACTTAGTAATATGCGTTTAAGGTTCCTCCATGTCTCTTCATGGCTTGGTAGCTTGTTTCTTTTTAGTGCTGGATGGACCACAGTTTATTTATCCATTCACCTACTGAAGGATGGCTTGGTTGCTTCCAGGTTTTGGCGATTATGAACAAAGCTGCTGGAAACATCTGTGTGCAGGTTTTTGTGTGGACCTAACTTTTCAGCTCCTTCGGGTAAATACCAAGGAGCACGATAACTGGATCACATGGTAATAGGTTTAGTTTTGTAAGAAATGGCCAAACTGTCTTGCAAGGTGACTGTGCTGTTTCGCATTCTCATCAGCGATGCGTGGGAGTTCAGATGACTTCCTATGTAAGAAACTCCCACAGCTCTGTAAACCTGATTCTAAATGCCCGGTTGAAAGAAAGTTTACCCAAGAGGACACCCAAAGAGTAAGCAAAACTTTAAAAACATGTTTGCTCCCTTAGTAATGAAGGATGTAAACGTCAAGGTTGCTGGGATGTATCGTATATGCCTCTCAAAAAGCCCATAGTAAAGAGAATTCTGTGCTCTCAAGGCTTTAGAAAGAGACTCTTTTTTTTTTTTTTTTTAAGATTTCATTTTTTCCTTTTTCTCCCCAAAGCCCCCCGGTACATAGTTGTATATTCTTCGTTGTGGGTCCTTCTAGTTGTGGCATGTGGGACACTGCCTCAGTGTGGTTTGATGAGCAGTGCCACGTCCGCGCCCAGAATTCGAACTAACGAAACACTGGGCCGCCTGCAGCGGAGTGTGCGAACTTAACCACTCGGCCACGGGGCCAGCCCCGTAGAAAGAGACTCATTTTTGCTGTGAAAATATTATAAATTGACTTTGTCCTTTTTAAACTTCTTTTATTGAGATAATTCACATAGCATACAATTCACTCATTTAAAGTGTCTACTTCAATGGCTTTTGTATATTTACATTTGTGCAACTATGACTACAATCTTTTTTTTTTTTTTTTTTGGTGAGGAAGATTCACCCTGAACTAACATCTCTTGCCAATCTTCCTCTTTTTTTGCTTGAGGAAGGTTAGCCCTAAGCTAACATCTACATCTGTGCCAATCCTCCTCCTCTTTGTATGTGGGTCGCTGCTTCAGCATGTCTGATGAGTGGTTGGTCTGTGCCCAGGATCCGAACCCACGAATCCAGGCCACTGAAGCAGAGTGCGCCAAACTTAACCACTACGCCACAGGACCAGCCCTACAATCCAATTTTAGAGTGGGAGAAAATATTTGCAAATCAATTCAACAACAATGAAAATAACCTATTCCAAAAAATGAGCAAAGGACTTGAGTAGACCTTTCTTCAGAGAAGATATACAAATGGCCAATAAGCACAGGCAAAGATGCTGAACGTCATTAGCCATCAAGAAAATGCAAATCAAAACCACGTAAGATAACACTTCATACTCACTAGGATGGCTGTGATAAAAAAGACAGACAAGGGGCTGGCCCCACGGCCAAGTGGTTAAGTTTGCACGCTCCCCTGCAGTGGCCCGGGGTTTCGCTGGTTCGGATCCTGGGGGCAGACATGGCACCGCTCATCAGGCTACGCTGAGGCGGCCTGCCACTAGCCACAACTAGAAGGACCCACAACTAAAATATATACAACTATGTATTGGGGGGATTTGGAGAGAAAAAGCAGAAAGAAAAAAAAAAAGAAGATTGGCAACAGTTGTTAGCTTAGGTGCCAATCTTTAAAAAAAAAAAAAAGACAGACAATAGGATCCAGCCCAGTGGCGTAGCACTGAAGTTCGCCTGCTCCACTTTGGTGGCCTGGGGTTTGCAGGTTCGGATCCCAGGTGCAGACCTACGCACTGCTTATCAAGTGACGCTGTGGCCAGCATCCCACAGTAGAGGAAGATGGGCACAGATGTTAGCTCGGGGCCAATCTTCCTCAAAAAAAAGACAATGACAAGTATTGATGAGGATGTGGAGAAACTGGAATCCTTGAGTGTGGCTGGTGGGAATGTAAAATGGTGCAGCCATTGTGGAAATGGGTATAGTGGTTCCTCAAATGTTAAATCTAGAACTAATATATCATCTTGTAATTTCACTCCTGGGGATAACCCCAAAAGAACTGAAATAGGGACTCAAACAGATACTTCTACACAAATGTTCGTAGCACCACTATTCACAATAGACAAAAAGAGGAAACAACCCATTTGGCCAAGAGAGACAAAATGTGATCCATCTGTACATGGAATGTTATCCACCCATAGAACGGAGTAAGTTCTGATGCAGGCTACAAGTGGATGAGCACTGAGAACATCACATGGTAGGTGAAATGAGCCAGACCCAAAGGACAACCTATTGTACGATTCCACTTACATGAAGTATCTAGAACAGGCAGATTCATAGAGACAGAAGGTAGACTAGAGGTTACCAGGGCCAAGGAAGAGAATGGGGAGTTGTCGCTTAATTGGTATAGTTTCTTTTTGTGGTAATGAAAAACTTCTGGAAATAGATAGTGGTGATGGTCACACAACATTGGGAATGTACCTAATGCCACCGAATTGGACACTTAGAAATGGTTAAATGGTCAATTTGATGTTAGTTATATTTTACTACAATAATAAAGAAAGAAACCCCAGCACCACTTAGGTGTCACTCCCAGCCCCCCATCCCTCAGCCCTAGGCAGCCACTGCCTACTTCCTGTCTCTCTGGGTTTGCTCACTCTGGACTTGTCATGTAAATGAAAGCAGACAATAAGTTGGCTTTTTGTGATTGGCTTCCTTCACCTAGCATGCGTTCGCAGGGGTCATCTGTGTCTAGCATATGTCAGCACTGAATTCTTTCTTTAGTTTCTTTTTTAAGACTTAATTTTTTTAGAGCAGTTTTAGGTTCACAGCAAAATTGAGAGGAAGGTACAGAGATTTCCCATACATTCCCTGCCCCGACACATGCGCAGCCTCCCTCATTAGAGCCCCCCCAGCAGAGTGGCGCAGTTGTCACCACTGACAGACCTGCGCTGATGCATCACGATCACTCAGCGTCCACGGTTTACCTTAGGGTTTACTCTTGGTGGTGTACATTCTATGGGTTGACTTTCTTTTTATGGTTGAATAATATTCCAAAAATAAAATATACCACATTTTAGTTATCCATTGATGGGTTGATGGATATTTGGTTTGTTTCCTTTTTTTTGGTATTTGGCTATTATGAATAATGCTGTTACCAACATTTGTGTACAAGTTTTCGTGAGGACATGGTTTTCAGTTTTCTTGGGTATATTCCTAAGAGTGGAACTGCTGGGTCCTATGGTAACTCTCTGTTTACTATTTTGAGGGACTGCCAAAGACGCAAGCCCCTTATCAGACATGATCTGCAAATATTTCCTTCCATTCTGTGAGTTGTCTTTTACTTTGTCGATGGCTTAGTCCTTTTGAAAGGCAATCTGTCAAAACATATCAGGAGGCATAGAAGTTCTCAAATTCTTTGATCTAGTATTTTTAATCCTGGAAACTGGCCCCAAGGAGTTGATTGAGAGAAAAAAAAAAAGAAGCAATTTATATAAAAATGTTTATGGCAGCATCAATTAAAAAGAGCAAAACTGGAAACAGCTTAAATGTGCATTCACATAATTATGGAATGCTATGCAGACATTAAAATTATAAATGTGGTTATGTAGGTTCAGGAAGTACATCTAAGTGGAAGCAGTAGGCTATCGGATCAGGAGGAGGTGGGCTGGAGGGGCAGGAAGGTGACTAATTGCTGGGTGACAGATGAGGGGTTGTCAGCAGACACTTTTGCAGTATTGCTACAAAGCACAATTTAAAAGTAAAGCACGATTGAGCACCATCAGGTCCTCACAGGACAGTGGAGCCGCACAGCACTTCAGGCTCACCATGAGGAGGTTCCTGTCTTCTAGCTTTTTCTAGGCACAGTTTTACAAAGTTGTGATCCAATTAGAAAGGTTTTTTTTTCTTTTTGAGGAAGACTGGCCCTGAGCTAACATCTGTGCCCATCTTCCTCTACTTTATATGTGGGACGCCTGCCACAGCATGGCTTGACAAGCAGTGTGTAGGTCCGCGTCTGGGATCTGAACCAGCGAACCCTGGGCCACGAACCAGTGAAGTCTGGGCTGCTGAAGCAGAACGTGCGAACTTAACCGCTGCGCCAGGCTGGCCTCCAGTCATTTTTTAAATTTTGCCTTTGTCACTTAACATTAAGGCCCTGGAGAGTAGTACTCTCTTGACAGTCTTTTGAACATGAGCTTCGCTGGCTGTGTAATAAACATCCAGTGTATGTGGTGCCGTCCCTGATTAACTCCACTGGGTGCTGTGTGTGAACACGTTAGGTGCTTCCGGTTTTCCTAGTATAGTTAGTGCTGGGATTAACATCTTTCTGTGCTAAGCTCTTCCTGAATTTCAGATTAATTTTCTGAAGTGGAATGATAAGGGAAAGGGTATGAACAGTTTTCAAAAGGACTACCTTTTTTCAGATTCTAAAATGACAGTATTTACTGTGAGCAGTTTGACAACTACGCAAAAACACACCAAATCACTCGTATTCATTCCTGCCGCCAGATATAACCACTGTTAGCATACATCTGTCTTTAGATGTAGGGTTTTTTCCCGTGGAGACATCTGTATACACGTACAGTGGTTTCTTACATAACTGGGAGGGTCCTGTCAGGCAGTTTTGTAGCCAGCTCTAGAATGTGTTTTTTCCCATGACTTTAAAAATAGCTTTACGTTCACCAATAATAATAGATACAAAATATTCCATCATGTGGATGGAACATCATTTACTCAATGATTCTTGCTTCTTGAGCTATTTCACTAATGGAGACAATTTGTAGGTTCTTGTTACATATGCCTTTCTGAGTGAGCTGTGCTCTCATGGTGCCATCACCAAAAATGGGTTATATTTAATCAGTTTTTAAAAGTTTGCAAAAGTAGAACATCATTCCATGGAAAAAAGTTCACGATACAGAAACAAATACATGAAATACGAGTCCCCTGATGCTAAGAGTTTCCTGTGTACCCTTCCAAATATTTTGTTTCTGCGTGTGCACACACACACATGCACTGGTTAATTTTTTAACCAAAGTAGGATCATGTTGCGTGTACTTCTCGGCAACTTGCCTTTTTCCACTGCTGTACCATTGGGGCGTCTTTACTCGTTGGGATATACAGACCCACCTCCTTCCTTAAACAGCTGCCGTGTAGCCCACTGCATGGCTGTACCATGGGCCCTTAGCCATTCCCTGACAGACGTTTCGATTGTTTCCAGGTTTCCACAATCACAAACATTGCTGCCATGAACACCCTTGGAAAAACATCCATGAGAGAGGTTTCTGGGAGTAGAAATGTGTTGAGAGCCATCCTGCAGCCTGGGGTTTTGTCGTGGGTACCTCTGGGGGCCCTGCGTGCTGCGGTCCTCCCTCATGGACGTGTCTTGGCTGTCTCCTGCACAGGACCTCAGCCTGTAGTGGCTCCCCCAACACTGAGGAGACGCCATCCCCTCCTGTGAAGTCCTCCATCTTCACGCCGCCTGTCCTGCTCAAGTTCCAGCCTGTGCCCAGACCCAAAGATGACTCAGAGAAGGACCCTGGCAGCACAGAGTCTGCGCCCCGAAAGAGGAGCCCATAACGTCTTCCCTTTACACTGTGGCCGGAGGAATGAATAAAGTTCCCATGGCGGTGCTTTTGTGCAGGGCTCCCTAGGGCTTGTGTAGTCCCGCAGGCTCCCTCCAGCCTGAAGAGGTTGTCAGGATAGTGCAAGCCTGAGGCCCTTTGGCCTGAGCCCACGCGCAGTAGGTGGTCGGGTTGGTGCCACTGTGAAGTCCCCTTGCCTGCACGCTAACACGTGCGCTCTGAAAGAGAAACACAGAGTGCATGAGGAGAGAGTGCTGCCCTTCCCTTCAGTGACTCTGTGGCCCCTTTGGGCCTCACTTGACCCCACTGAGTTGGAAGTCTACCGTTTTTTCCTACGCTCAGCGCATAAACACAAGCCTTCTCCAGGTGCAGGTTTACAAACAGTGATCTGTTCCCTTTCTGGAGGAAAATGAGCTGGTGGGACTGTTTCCAATTTGACACCTCCCTAAGGAATTTCAAAGATTTGTGACTCTTGTTGCCGCTTGACATGCTGACCTTGGAATCAAACCTGCGTGTGAGATTGAGTCCTCACAGAGTGCTTGCCTGCTGGACATCAGCCGATATTCACTGAGCCCTTGCGCGTGCCCTGCACCTTGCTTGGGACTGAAAATAGTAAACCAAGCAGTTGGCATCCCTGCCCTTAAGGAGTTTACATCCCATCCTCGTGTGTGGGTGTGTGTGTTACATCCTGTTGTCCTGTGTGCGTGTGTGTTACATCGCATCTTCCTTTGTGTATGTGGTAAACTAGTACATAGATCAAATAACCACAGGAGTACAAGTTGTGATAAGCCCTATGGGAGATGAGATGGAGATAAATGGGGTGGGTGGTTGGGGAAAGGCTCTCTGAGGAGGTGACATTTATGTTGAAGCCTGGGAAATGAGGAGCCAGCCATGAGATGAGAAAGGGCAAGGACAACTGGCTTTGGGTAACTGGGTAACTGGGTGGATAGCCGTACTGTGAGGAGAGTGGAGGCTAGGGGTAGAGGCAGGATGGAGAATTCTGCTTTGACCAGACATGTTAAATTTGAGATCAGTGGGTACCCAAGTAGAGGTCAGGAGTCGGGAATGCTGCTGATTTAGTGTTGGGAGTCAAGGGATCCAAGTGGTATTTAAAGCCTGGTCAAGATCACCCAGTACTGGAGTGTAGATGGAGGTCCAGGGCTTAGGCTGGGGCACACAGTGATCTGGCGGAGGAAAAGGTCCATCAGGAGAGACTGAAGGGATCAGTGAGGGCTCTGGACCTTCAGGCTTGATGGCCACCTGCCCCTGGCTGCCCAGGAGAGGGCCCTGGAGGCAGTGAGGCCCGAATGGGCGGAGAGAATGGGAGGTGAGCCGGTAGACAGGCAACGTGCACTTGGCTTTGGAGGCTTCTGCCTTGGAGCGGGGCAGAGATGGGCCGAGGCTGGTGGGACTTGAGGCTCTAGGCAGACTTCTTTTTGGTGAGGAAGATTGGCCCTAGAGCGAACATCTGTGCCAATCTTTCTCCATCCTTGATGTGGGACACCCCCAAAGCCTGGCTGGATGAGCAGTGTGTAGGTCCGCGTCGGGCCGAACCGGAAACCTAACCACTGTGCAACCCTGCAGGCCCCAGTAGGCAGACTTTTGAAAGGCCTCAGAACCCAGGTCAAACCAGGGCGAGTTTGGGCGGGGACGGCACTGCGCCCGGGCTGGGCGGGTACGCGAGGCGGTCCGCAGAAAGACCTCCCAAGAAGATGGGCCTTCAAGGCAGAAGCAGCTCAGCACCCACAAGACGCGGGCTCAACCGGAGCTCAGCCGGCAGCCCAACGCCAGGGCTGCCCCCGAGGAGCATGCGCTCTTGGCGCCACCGGCCGTACGTCTGGCCCGCCCACTTCCGGGGCGCGTCCGCGGGACCCGGAAGTAGTTACGGAGATCGGCCGAGACGCTGTCTGCTGGCGTCGAGTTTCCGCGCTCGCCGGTTTTGCCGCCCCCGCCGCCGCCATGGGGAAGCGACAGCACCAGAAGGACAAGATGTAAGCTGAGCCGCAGCCGGGAGCGGGGCCCCGCCTGTGCCGCGCTGCGCGCCGCCCCCCGCGCCTCTCTCAGAGTCGGTCCCGGAGCCCCTCCCCGGGCGGGGACTGGCCCAGCGCCGGCGTCCCCGGGACCTGGCTCTGCGGGGCTGTGGGTACTCTCCGCGAAGCGCCGACCCCGCCCCGCCCCTCGGCGTCTCGGCTCGGGACCCCTGGGCTGCCGTCTCTCCGGCGTCCGCGGTCTCCCAGTGCGCCCGGTCCCGTCTGTCAGCCTGCGCCCGTGCTGCTGGTTAAGACCATCCCACCTTGCGCCGTGTTCCCCTCCAGCCGCCACTGTGTTCCTTGGGTTTTCTTCACAACAGGACGGGAAAGACCTGGGACCGTCTGCTGTTGTCTGTGTCTTGAAACCACGCCAGTCAGGCTTTCTCCCCGAGGACTGCTCTGATCAAGATCCTAGTAACTTCCACGTTGCTAAATCTAGTGGTCAATTCTTAGTCCTCCTTTTTGGGCTTCTCAACAGCCTATGGCGCAGTTGACCGCCTCTCTCCGAAGCCCGTCTTTGGCATCTAGGGGGCCGCACGCGCGTTGTTTGCAGTCTGCCTCAGTGGGCTCTCTTCACTGCCTCTCTGGCTGGGTTCTCCTGCCCCCCTCCCCCAGACCCCATAGGCGGAATTCCCCCGTTTGTGCTCCGTTTACTTTCTCCCTGGGTGATCTCTCGTGGACGTCTGATAGACATCGCACATTTAACGTGCCCCGCACGGAGCTCTTGGTTTTCGGTGCCTGAGCCTGCGCCTTCCCCGTTTTCCCGGTCTCCACGGTCAGGCCACTGCTCAGTCGCTCAGGTCTGAGGTGCCGGAGTTAGCCTTGGTGCCTCAGGGAACCCGCAGCTCTCTCTTCCTCCGTCCACCAGTAAGTCCTACTGGCTCTCCCAGGGATCGACCACTTCTGCCCCGTCCACCCGTCCCCCCGTATGTGGAGTTTATGCCAACTCCTTCTCGGACCTTTGCAGTCGCCTCCTGACTGGTTTTCTGCTGCCTCTCTTGCTTGTCCCGCTACACACAGCAGCCAGAGTGATGCTTTGAGAACTTATGTTAGATCATGTCAGTATCCTGCCCCAAACCTCCTACAGCTTCCATCCCTCTTAAAGCAAACCTAGAGTCCTTACACGGCCTGCGAGGCCCCTGGTGATCCGACCGCCACCCGTGCCTCCTCCATCTGCTGTCACATGGCCCTGTGCACACTCTTCTTCAGTGACTTCCCCCTTCTGTGGGAACATCCCAGCTTTTCCTGCGTCCTGGCTCTTGTACGGGACATGCCTGCTTGATCCCTCCGCCCGGCAAGCTCTTCCCCCATCTCTTCAATCTTCTGATCAGGCCTTCTGTGCAGTTCAGTTCATTTCCTTCAGAGCAAAGCAGGCCTGTATGTGCTTCCTAGTGTATGCCTGCGTTCTGCTGTGTTTAGTGCTGTGTGCCTGTTTTATAAGTATTTGCTGAATGAATGAGTGAAATGATTCGGTCATCGGTTACTTACTTCCAGAGACTGTCCTCTTTGTAGACGGAGTGGTAGTAAGCTTGTCTCTTCTTTCTTCAGGTACATTACCTGTGCTGAATACACTCACTTCTATGGTGGCAAGAAACCAGGTAAGGCATGAGATCCTTCTGTTCCCCTTGGTGTGTGGGGGCTGCAGTTAAGGAATGATGTCTTCGCTATACGATGAACCTGTAAAAATTAACAACTAACAGGAACATGGAAACTATAGGAGACAAATGGGCTGAGGACACATAAAATTTACAAAAAGGAAAGCTACTAAACGTGTGAGAGAATGTTTAATCTTGGTGGTGATTTTTTCTTTTTTGAAGATTGGCACCTGAGCTAACAACTATTGCCAATCTTCTTTTTTTTTTTTCTGCTTTTTCTCCCCAAATCCCCCCAGTATGTAGTTGTCTATTTTAGTTGTGGGTCCTTCTAGTTGTGCTATGTGGGATGCCGCTTCAGCATGGCCTGATGAGCGGTGCCATGTCCACGCCCCAGGATCCGAACCCTGGGCTGCCGAAGCGGGGAGCGTGAACTTAACCACTTGGCCACAGGGCCGGCCCCGGTGGTGATTTTTTTTAACGTAGGTTTAAGTGACAGTCTTTTCTCTCTCAAGTTAATAAAGAGTAAAAAGAATGATAACACACACTGTCAAGGCCGCAGTGAAAGAGCGCTGTCCTAGTTGCTGGTCGGGGTAAAACCGGCACAGCCATTGTGGAAAGCAGAGCGAAGCCCTCCAGCAGGGGTGCTAGAGTTCTGGTAGAAACCCGACTGCAGTGGCCTAAACAGGTGTCTGCCTTGTCCTCTGAGTTCTTTCTTGACGCACCATGTGTGTAGGTTCCATTTATTGAAGGGTTTTAATCCACAACCATTGCTGCACTAGGTAATTGACGTGAACTTTTTTGAAAATGTAATTGAATTGTTGGTAAGAACACATCAAATTTTTTACAAAATAAATTTTCTGTCTTTTATTTTCATTTTAAACAGATATCCCACAAACAAATTTTCGTCGTTTACCTTTTGACCACTGCAGGTAAGAGTTTGGAGAGTTCACTCGTTCCCTCTGATTGTTCTTTGAGACTCAGTCGTTTGACAGTGACTCTGATCCTTGGAGGTGTAGATGTGGGTTCTGTCTGCGTCCCCCAACCCAGATCTTCCCTAAACAGGGAGGAGGTGGCCCAGTGACAGTAAGAACTAATGATTGTTTTCCGCCTGTTCCCATGCGTGGTCGTTTTAACCTCATTCTCACCTTCCAAGGTAGGTAGGCTCTGTCGTAGCCTGTTTTACAGTTAAGAGAACCAGTGCTGAGAAGAGTGAAGTCCCTCGCCCGGGGGGGCGCATCCAGGAAGTGGTGCCACTGAGGCTTGAACGCAGTGGTCTGATGCCGGCTCATGCCTTTCCTGCTTTGCTTTGGGTCCAGGCTCTAAGTAGTAATGGCAGCTGCAGCAGTCGTGATGCCATGAGCCCCTGCGCCTTCCCTGGGAGCACAGGGCCCTGGTGGGGGTGGGGGAGACCCAGCTGCAGAGCTGCTCAGATGCTTCTGTCCATCCTGGTGGGTATGTTTGTGAACAGACGGTGAGTCTGCTGGACTAGGGAACCCCAATACACTGGGGGTTGCGGGAGTGGGTAGGTCTGGTGTCCCCTCAGGCCTGAGCTTCCCCAAGCCTGAGCCATGGTCACCTCTGCCCTGAACACATGTGTCTACATAGCATGCCCCCCGCCCCGCCCTCCCCCTCTCAGTTCTGATTGCGTAGGTCAGGGTGAGCCCTCAGAGCTGACAAAGCTTTCCTGGGGATCCCGGCACCTTGGTTGAGGCAGGTCAGCCAGATAGCACAGGGCGGCGAGAAAGGGGCAGAGGGGCCTGCGCACAGTGCAGGAAGGCTGGGCGCTGCACCAGGGGCCCCCAGGTGGCTCCCACATGGTGGCGAGGGAGGGCTTTTCCTGCTCCCAGCGCTTGCTCAGGGAGGGTGAACAATGCGGCCCCGGTGCATTGGCTGGATCTCCCCACCCCAGCAGGTTTTGTCATCAGCCTTGTGGAATGTGGTCTTATTCAGAGTGGGCAAGAATTGGTTTTATGGAAATACTTTCATTTTTGGTTCCTACTTTCTCCAAAAGTGTGTGATCTGTGTTTCACCCATGTTTTTAATTACCTTGGTTTCTGGCTAAAAATGTGCCTTGAGAATGTGCCCTTCGGGTCTCACTTAGGGCAAGATACATGTCCTTTTCTTGCTATTTGGAGCTTGCTTTGGCATTGGTCCTGCTCTGATCAGTCCCCAGCAGCACCAGTATCCCCTCTAGGTTAGAGTAGAAGGTTGGGCCAGAGAGGGAGGTAAAGTTGCACCATGAGGGCTTCCTGGGGCAGCACCTGGGGAGGTTACCCCAATGCTGCCAGGCTGTCCAGGTCCTTGGGACTGACCTGTGCTGACTAAACTCATAGGTGACTGATGTACAAACAAGCCAGGTCAGCCAGGGCTGTTAATGGCTAGTGATGGAAACCCTATGCAAGAAAAAATAGATATTGGCTCAAGGAAGTCCACCGAGTATAGCCTCCCCTCATCTGCGGGCTCTGCTTTTCCTGAGCAAACTCTCCACAAGGTGGCAAAGGGCTTTTGGAGTCTGGGCCTCTGTGGGCCCCTCCACCCCCACATCTGTGTATCAGAACTTACCCAGGGCTCCTGGGACCTCAGGTTTTGCCTGAGTCATGTGCCCACCCCGTGGAAATGTCGGGGGAGCTGTGTGCACTTGTGGTCAGGAGCAGGCAGGGCACCCTCACACCACAGTGGCCCCACCAGAGTCTCTTGGGATGGGAGAGGGCAGTTCTCGGTCGAGCAGCGTGGCCTGCCTGCTGCGTGAGGGTTCGGGCAGCAAATTCCAGTCCTGTCTCCCTGAGGCCATCTCCAGGGCCTCGTGATCTTGAACATGATCCCACATGTGTTCTGTGACACAGCAGAGTATGAGGAGAGAACCAGGCTGCTGCTGCTGCAAGGCCCCCTCTGCACCTCCTGGGACCCTTGCCTTGTATTTACTGGTTTGTGTTGGGAGCTTCTGAGGGGCAGAGATGTGGGGGCCACCTCTATGTGGGCCCCCAGCCAGGCCGTGCAGAGGAGTACTAGAATCGTTGAAGGAGTAACTGAAGGAGGGAGGAGCTAAGGGAGAGGTCACAGGAGCCGTGTGGGGGTGGCCTGGTCAGCCCACTGCATGACCAGTGTGCCCAGCAGCTGACCAGGAGTGACTCTGTCCTCTTTCTCAGTCTCTCTCTGCAGCCCTTCGTCTACCCAGTGTGCACCCCTGAAGGCGTCGTCTTTGACTTGCTGTGAGTTTTCCCTTGACTCCTGAGCTGACAAACGGGGTGAGATTGTTGACGCCCACTCCGGAAGGGGCTGTGGGGCTCCAGGCAGTGCTGCCCCAGCTCATGCTGAGGCCGCCAGACTCCAGTCCCAGCAGCCTTGGGGACGTGGGAGGGACTGCCAGGGCCTTAGGGATGAAGCAGCAGGGCTGCTGTGACCCCCAGACAGGCAGCTTTGCTGGCAGGCGCTACGGCTTCTGCCTAAAGTGGCGTTGAACCCTTCCCCGCCATGTGGCGGTCCTAGGGTTGTAAGTGGCACACCTGTACCTGTTGTGGAGTATTAGTGAACTGAGTGTCTGTCGCTTTGTGAAAGCAGAGCCATGATTAAGGTGCATACTTCTCCAGTGCTGTATTTTGAAGCGTTATGTGCAATTTTATGTTCCGGTATAAGCCAGCTTCTATAATTTTCTCATATTTCAGACTCATCTTTGAAAATTTGGAAAATACTTCAAAGTAAAAGGAAAAATTTACTGTAATTACACTATCCAGGATACTCACTCTCAGTAGTTAAACTCCTCGTTTTCTGTAGGTTTATTTGTAGTAACATGGTTGAGATAATTCTGTGAAGATAGTTCTAGATCAATTTTTCACTTGGTTATGATGAGAACTTTTTTTTTCTATGTCATTCAGAATTCTCTGGAAGTACAATTTTTGAAGCTGGCCCAGTATCTCTGTCATTTTGTGGATGTATCAACATTTATATATATGTCTTTTTTGCTAGTTTGTCTCATTTATCCATAACTGCAATAAAAACCCTGAACATAGCTTGAAACCCACATACCAAGAAATATTCCCCACTTCCTTTGCGAAGGAAGGCACCCCTCTCCTTGGCTTGTGCTAGGAGAGGTGACGTGGGGCAAAGGCCATTCACGGGTCTCACCTGGAAGCAGCCCTCCAGGACCATGGCCTTGTCACCAGGCTGCGCCTGACTGTCTCACCGACACTCTCTGTTCTCTTCCCTTCAGGAACATCGTTCCTTGGCTTAAGAAGTATGGGACCAACCCCAGCAACGGAGAGGTAGGGGCTGTGCAGGCGTGTAAGTCATGCTGGTGAGCGCTCTCCTCTTACCTGGCGTTTGGTTCTGTGGTGCTTGTGTATACACGAGCGTGGTAGAGAATCATTCATGGGGCCCAGTGAGGAGGGACCGTCCTCTTCCCTCTTCCCACGCCCAGTCCTTTCCAGAAATGTTCCCTACGTGTCCACAGGTATGTACAGGTATATGTTGTCTTTCCTTGGACCGCGGATGCGATCACGTGCGTGAATGCCTTTGTACCTTGCTTTCGCACCCTGCAGTGTGCCTCAGAGATCTGAACGTGGTGGTGCATAGCGCCCTGCCTCATTCTGTGGTGGCCACACACGCCCTCCTGCGGAGTTACCATGTGGATTGAAGTCACCTGCTGTTAGAGACAGTGGTCAGGGAATACCCTGGTGTGTGTTTCCTGGGCACACGTATGCGTGTCCTCCCGGGACTGCTGCCTCACAGGGTGGCTGCATTTTCCGTTTTGGTAGCTACTGGCCACTTGCCCTCCAAGGAAGGTGCACCATTTTAAACTCAACAGCAGTGTGTGAAAGAGAATGCTTGTTTCCCTTTACCCTTGACAACACTGGCTATCATCTGTTTTTTTTTATTTTAGCTGCTAATGGGCAAAAACATTTTTGAATTTGTATTTTTATCATAGGTTAAGCACCTTTTGATATGTCATGTGCACAGGTCCAGTGTCATGAATTCTGTGCTGCTCAGAAGAGACTCCCAGAGCCATGTTCTGGCTTATTGTCCTTTTTTTCACCCCACTGCCTGCCTTTCTCGTAAGCCCACGGTGTTCCCACGTTTCCGTCACCCTCTCTGTCGTCTTGGTCCCTTTACTTCTCAGGGATTTCTCTCCTTCCACCATGCTGCGGCTCGGGCCCATTTTTTCATTTATTCAGTTGCGTCCCTTCATTCAGCAAGAAGGTGTTAGCCCATGCTGTCTGTGGGGCCTGGAGCTGTGAGCAGAGCATAGACAGTGGGTGGCAGAGATGTTTACTGAGAGGGAGGATGGGTGGGCTTGGGAATATTTCTGGAGCAGTGCCATTTAGCTGAGACCTGGGGATGAGAGGAGATGGTGGCAGATGGTCAGGGGCTGTGTCAGGGGGCCTGGAAGGCTCTGGAGGGAGCCTGGGTTTGTTCTAGGTGGACTAGAAGCCGGGCAGGGTTTTAAGTGGGAGTAAGTTGTGATCTGGCCTCTGTTTTAAAGGCTCACTCTGGCTGCTGTGTGGGGAACAGACTGTAGGAGGTGAGGGTGGAAGCTGGGAAAGCCGCAGGGTGCCTGCAGGTGTCTGGCAAGAGGTGCTGAGTGACCTTGGACCAGGGAGGAGGCCGAGGAGGTGGAGAGGTCGGACCCAAGACTGCTGTGCAGGGTGGACCAGCGGGATTTGCTGAGATGGCGCATCAGGGTCCATGGCTCCCGGGGCAGGGGAGAGCTGAGTAGTGACCTAGTGCAGTCTCGTCTAAGGGCTCAGTGAGCATGTCCTGTGCCAGGGGCAGGCAGGGGGACCCAGGTGATCAGCCTGTGCTCAGATTCCAGGCCAGTGGGGCTTTGGCAGAAAGGTGGATCCCTCAGAATCAGAGCCACAGGCTGCAGGCCAGGCGGGCGCACGGAGCGAGGGCAGGCAGTTGGGCTGGAGGGGGGATGAGGAGGGCAAGCAGGGAGGGTGGGGACTTCTGCAGGACCTTGGAGGACAAGGCTCCTGACTCCTCCAGGCTGTCTGGGGCAGGTGTGTGAGGCTGGGAGGTCATCCTGCTGAAAGTCTGGGCAGTGTGTGGAGGAGCGTTCAGGATGAGGCAGGCCGTGTGGGGACTGGCACTGTGGAGCTGCCAGGTGGGCTGGGGCCAGGTGGGTAGAGCCCTGTCTGCCAGGATAGGGGCCGGACCTGATCCGGAAGACAGTGAGCTGGGTGAGGCCTGGTCAGCTCTGTGACAGAGGCCTCAGAGGCCATGCTGAGAGTGGAAGCCATTGTTGTCATTGTCATTGTTCAGGGAGGCCCAAGAGGATCCAACTGCTGTGAGGCTTGACGGGGAGAGAGCGAGGGGGTGAGTGATGTGACTAGTGTCCTGGTTACCAGCCTAAGATGGGTAAAATCTCATTGGTTTGGTCTTTATTTATGCCTTAGCTTCCTATCTTCTGGAGGCCCATTTGTGCTGTCTGGGCTCCTCTAGTCCTGGTGACAGTCTGGGGAGGGTTCGGGTTCCGTGGCCCTTGGCGTCAGGAAGGCAGCTCAGCAGCATTTTCTTCCTGGCCTGGTGGTGCATATTCTGGGCGGCCGCCAGGAGCCTGCAGGCTTTTCTCTTTCACATGGTTGGATTGGGGTGCTGGTGGCCTCACCCTGCTAAGGAGAACGCTGTCAGGAGTCTGCTGTGTCCTTCCTCTTTTTTTCTCATTTGAAAGTGTGGCTGGCAGTGTTCCTCTGTGAGGTCTGCTGCTGGGAGCCACCGTGGGCTTCCTGGGGCTTCTGTGGGGTCCGTGCTCCCTGCCTGTGCCCCCGTGTGATTGGCTTGTTTTCAGGGGATGTTGCCATCCCTGGGTGCCTGTCTGCCCCAGTGGAACAGCCAGTGTGGAGGCTGGGGCTCCTCTGCTGCCGAGGGTCTGCGCTTTGCTGTGTCAGTGGTGGTCTTCAGGTGCCTTCAGCCCCCGAATCCCTCGTGTTTTCTTGTGCACACATGCCCTCATAGCCTCTCTTTCTTTCCTGGTGGACATTGCCATTCGGTTGCCTCTGGGGTGCTTTCCTCTTACTTTGGGTGTTTCACTCCATGGGTGCTCTTTGGGGCTCCGAAACATGTGGATTGTCCTGGGCTCGGCCCCCCGCCAGGCCTGGGGGCAGCTAGTGACTTGGCCTTGTGTTTGGGCTTATCTCACTGAGGCTCGGCCATGTCCTTTGTTCCAGGTGTCTTGTTGGGGTGACTTTCTGCTGGGACACACCTGACAAAAACCGTGCATGTCCTTATCGAGGGCCAGGGATTCTCCCTGGCCTGGTCTCCAAAGGGCCTTATTGAAGGCTGCTGTGTCCAGATGTGTGACGTCAGCAGCGCCCCCTCCAGCTGAACTGCTGAGGAGTGTCCCTGTGGAGTTAGCTGCCATTGAGCCCCTGGGCCCAGGGCCAGTTTGGCCCCATCTCACTTCTCAGGGCCCCAGGAGGAGTGTGTCATGTGTGGGGTCTCCCTGAGTTGTCATGTGCCCAGGGTCCTGGCCCTGTGGGAGAAGGGCTGACTGGTGGGAGCGGCCTTGGGTCAGAGACGCTGTCATCTGTCCCGGAGTCTGATGCTCACCTGCACAGGGTGGAGGGGGGAGGGCGGTTGGGCATGGTAGTCGAATGACGAAGAAATGAAGCCAGCTGTGGAGGAGCAGCTGTGGGGCTGGCCAGCAGGCAGGGCCTTGTGGGGGCTGGGCATGTGGACCGGCCGCTGCAGGAGAGGGAGGATTGGCTTGGCTCGGGGGCTCACCCCTGGGCCCCCTGCACACTGTCTCCTCTGAGCCCTGGGTAGGCAAGCCCTCCCAACCCCCGGCCCTCATATGGCCAATGGTGCAGGGATGTGGGCCCTGAGTCCAGTGCTCCCAGGGGCGCAGCTTTGCCTCCCTTCCAGGCTCTTTCTGCAGCCCCCTTTACTTCCTCCCACCAGGCCTCCCTGCCCGGGCCTGTTCTCCCCGTTGGCTGCCGGGACTCAGTTTTATTGTAGTTTCCTGTAGAAGAGGTGAGCTGCAGACACATCACAGAAACTCACAACAGAGTCTCCCATTGGGCTCACTCCTAGCATTTGGATGTACTTAGTCCTTTCTCCCCACTTTTTGGCCATTTGTCTTTCTTACAGTCATAGAACAGAGCAGTAAGGTGAACGCATGCGTACCCTACACCCAGCTGAAGGACCACATTCTTTATTTTTTTTTAAGATTGGCACCTGCGTTAACAACTCTTGCCAATCTTTTTTTTTCCTTCTTCTTCCCAAAGCCCCCCAGTACATAGTTGTATATTCTAGTCTTAGGTCCTTCTGGCTCTGCTATGTGGGACGCTGCCTCAGTTTTGGCCTGATGAACAGTGCTAGGTCTGTGCCCAGGATCCGAATCAGTGAAACGCTGGGCTGCCGAAGCGGAGTGCGCAAACTCAAGCACTCCACCACGGGGCAGCCCCAACATTCATTTTGAAATTTCAGAATTAATCAGTGTTCACCGTAAAATGTCTAAGCATTGCAAAAATATAAAGCAAAGCTCTGCCCTCGGCCTCGGCTTGCAGCCCAGAGGTTGCCCCTGAGAGTGGGGTCACTCTGTTCGCCCAGAGGCTGGGGGTGGGGGTGATCCGTCCTGCCGCCCCTCTTCTCCGGGTTCACCTCTGTGTCCCCGACCCCAGGTCAGCACGCGTGACTGTAGTTCTTGCTTGTAGTTGTAAAGGCTTGCGTGGCCAGAGACCTTTCTAGTCTGGGTGTTTGACCCAGCTTCACAGTGAAGCCTCAGCACGTCGTCACATCAGCCACTTATTCCTAATCATTAATTATTAATTATACCTTCTCCAGAAACTGGATGGGAGGTCCCTGATCAAGCTGAACTTTGCAAAGAACAACGAAGGTGAGTGGTCCCTTTTGCAGCCACCTCTAGGATTGGCCCACAGAACCCAAGGCCCCCTGCCTCTCACCAAGTTCTCTGCAGAATCAGTCGTTCCTTTCAGATCAGGCTGGACACTTGCTTTTAATTTCTCAAAGATGTAACATAATTTCTTCTTGAATGTCTAGGTAGTTTAAAGCTATGGGGTGGGAGTGAAACCTTGAGTTTTGAGGACTTCTTCCCACGAAGGCAGTCAGGCCGCATGGGCTGCTGGTGGCTTTCGTGGGCACAGGCCCTTTCTGGCTGCAGCTCTGGTCTGGTCATTGCCGGAGGAGGAAGCTACTCAGGCTGAGCCCAGGGCAGGCAGCGGGCAGTGGGTGTCGGGCTCTGACACATTTGCCGACTGGCTCTTGGGCTGGGCTTCTCACCACTGGTCGTAAAGCCCCAGCCCAGCCCTGGGGTCCTCCTGCTCCAGGTTCCAGCGCGCCCTCCACTGTTCTTGTTGGCCAGACGCCCACGCTGAGGCAGGCCCCAGGGGCCCTGACCTGGCTCTGGCTTCTGTGGGCCTGTGCAGGTGCTGTGGTGTAGGTTGGCGTCTGTGCTCACTGGGCATGTGCATTCCGAGGAGATGCTGAGGCACCTGAGGGCGGGGCCTGGCCCACAGTAGGTGCTGGTTCACAGTGATTGAGTAAGCTGGCCTCAGTGAAGCAGAAGCAAAGTACTTTGTGGACAGTCCCTAGGGGTCAGGGAGCTCTGCCCTGGTGGCCGAGCGCTGAGGGCCTCCCCACTCTGAGATGGATTGTTTTGGGGAGGCCCACAGTATGTGTCTCGATTAGCAAATATTTACTGAGTGCCTGCCACATGCAGAGAGCAAAACAGGCCAGGTCTCTCCCAGAATGAAAGGGGCTTACCTTGTGGTGAGGGAGGAAACCAGAAAACAGGTCACTTTGGAGTGTCCGCTGCTGCTTCTGCCAAAGGCAGAAGTAAAGCAGGTGAGGGGAGAGGGTGGTAGGAGGGCTCACTGACTGGGTTTGGGTGGAAGAGAGGGAGGGAGCCATGTAGGGATGTGGGGGAGAGCATTCTAGGCAGAGGGCACAGCCAGTGCAAAGGCCCTGAGGCGTGTCTGGGCTCAGCCAGGAGTCTAGTGTTGCTGCAAGTGTGAGTGAGGGAAGGAAGCAGGGGCTACAGTCGGCGAGGTCAGGTGGGGATGGGGTGCGGAGCAGTCTTGCAGGCCTGGGTGGCCATGGGAGGACTCTGAGATTCAAGCCAGAGAGGAGAAGCGAGATCTGACCTAACTTTTGCCCCTTTTGTTGTTTAAACAATTTTGACCTAGCAGTCACCGTTTTTTGCTTGTTTTGTTTCTGATTGAAAGTTTCAGACACGTGAGAGTAGAGAGAATTAGCAGTGATCCCCTGCCTGCATCCACCACCCGGCTTCAGTTCCGTCACCTCACGGGCTGTGTGATTCTATCTGTGCTCCCGCTCCGCACCCGCTTGGGTGATTTTGAAGCAAATCCCAGACATGATATCATTTCACACTTTAATATCTCAGTGTGTATCTCTGAAAGATAAGGACTAATAATAATCACGACACCATTATCACACCTAGAAAATTAACAGGAACTCCGTAGTATCATCAAATATCCTGCCAGTGGTCAGATTTCTGGAGTGCTCTCATAAATTTTTTTTACAGTTTTCAGGTCAGGATGTTTTAAAAGTCCACACAAATATGTGTGGTTGGTAGCGCTGAGTCTCTTAACCTATGAGTGTCCCCCTTCCTGTGGTTTATTTGTGGGGACTTACTTGAGCGGGCTCCCAGGCGTTGACGGGCAGGGCCAGGGAGGACGGCAGGAGTTCATTGCAGGAACCCAGGTGAGGGCTCCGGGAGAAGGGGGCTCAGGGCAGGGTCTGAGGCGGAGGAGGAGGCCAGGGCAGTGGTCGCGGTGGTGGGCCGGGGGCTGACAGGGCAGACTCCTCTGAGGAGGGCCTCGCCGGGGCTGGCTCCTGCAGCATAAGCAGGAGTTTCCTTGTGGTGCTGGAGGAGGGGGTTTGAGCAGCTGCCTGTCCCTGTGGGTCCCTGCTCCGCGCGTGCTCACGTGGGGTTCTGCCTCCTGCCTTCTCTGCCCGGCTTCTCTGCGTGGGCCTTCTCACCAGGGAAGTACCACTGCCCGGTGCTGTTCACCGTGTTCACCAACAACACTCACATCGTGGCTGTCAGGACCACTGGCAACGTCTACGCCTACGAGGTGGGTTCTTGGGGACTGTGTGGCATCCAGGCTCTTGGGTGTGTGCCCCAGGGAAACCCTGGGCTGGGGGTGCACCAGGTGCAGTGGGCACGACCTGTCCCCATGGAGCCTACTTTCTGAGAGCCAGCAGCATAGTTGAGAAAAGGTGGGCCTTTCCTGCAGCCTCCGGACCTGAGGCCTGGGCAGCCCTCTCACACCCCAGGGGTCCTCCCCACAGTCGTCTTCAGCGAAGCCTCTGACCACCAGGCCCTGGGAGGGAACTGTGCTCTGAGGACGGGCCCCAGGGCTTCGAGGGGAGCACTGAGCCCCCCAGTTCCTGGTGGAGTTCCCAGGAGGAGTGGGTGCGGCTGGTGGCGAGTGTAGGGGAGAGAAAGCCCCTATTTCCACACCCATCCTGCTCTGGGCGTGCCGACGGAGGGTACAGACAGCAGCCGTGGGCCCCATGTTGGGGGAAGCCCTCTCTGGGCCGTTTTTGTCCAGTTACTGGCTATTGGCAGGGTCGGTGTGGCCAGTGCTACTCGAGCAGTCCTTCGGGTCACTTCTTCCCCAAAGTGTGCATGGGCTGCATGGACACTTGGTAGAGATGGGCAGCCTCTGGGAGCCTGTCTGCTGATGTGTAAGATGTGTGTGACAAGAGCGTCCTGCGAGGAGCCTTGCTGAGAGGGCTGAAGTCGAGTCTCTGGGGTTCAGCAGGCTCCGTCCTCAGGGCTGGGGCTGCTGCTGTGAGCCCATGGTGGGTACACGCTTGTCCCCGTCCTTTTCCCCACGTCTGGGCAGGCTCCAGGCTCCCTGTGCCGGGGTGGGGGCAGGCACCATAACGGCGGGCTTCCTCCTGGCCATAGGCAGTGGAGCAGCTAAATATCAAGGCCAAGAACTTCCGCGATCTGCTGACCGACGAGCCCTTCTCCCGGCAGGACATCATCACCCTCCAGGTGGGTGGCCCCTTCCCACCGCTGTCCCCAGGAGGGACCACATTGAGAACCTTGGCACAGCTCCTGTCTGCCAACTCCACCTCTCCACCCAGGCTCGCTGGCTTCCTCCTGTGATCTGCCTAGTTGTGGTCTCCCAGCTGCCTTCCGCGCCCCCATCTCTAGCCATGTGAGCTCTCATGGGCTGCTTCCTCAGTCTGGCTCTCATGGGTCCCCCTCCAATGCATGTCCCTGCTGTGTCAGGACCCCTCCTCTCTGCCCCCGGAGCCATCTCGGCATTTGAGTGGCCCTTTGCAGGCCTGGCTCTCCTCTCACCCCTTTGAGGGCAGGGGCTGCTGCGTGCTCGGTACCCCAGCATCGGGCACAGGGCACGTCTGTAGGCGTCAGAACCCTGAGTGAGTTAATGAACAGTGTGGACTTAGAAAACCATGGGTGACCGAGATGGGCAGTTCCTTTCTGTGGCTTGTCCTGCTTTCACTGGGGTCAGCCATGCCCTCTACCCGTCCTGACTCCAGGACCTTCGTGCCACCCGCCCATTCTTTGCTGCCTGGGGCAGCTGTGTGGCCCAGGACCGGGTCCTGGCTGTAGTGATGGGCTCACTCTCCTACACGTGTTCTTTTCGCTGCAGGACCCCACCAATTTGGACAAATTCAACGTCTCCAACTTCTTTCACGTTAAGAATAACATGAAAATAACAGACCCAGGTACGTGCAAGCTGAGCTGGTCTGGGTACCAGGGGTTTGGGTGCAATAGGTCGCTGCTCCGTGGGCAAGGCCCTCACCTTCCTGGGGGCCAGAGCACCTAGGAGTCTCTCTCAAGCCTGGACAGGCCTGGAATTTCCCGAGCCGATGTTCAGCCTCTCCTCTGCTGAGGTTGGCAGGAGCACCCTGGCCCACACCCGCCCACAGGGCCTGGCGTGGTGGGTGCCAGCTGGGAACGCTGTGCCTCATGCCCACCTCCTCATGCGGTGGAGGCCTGGCTGCCGCCCCCTCCCCACTCAAGCTCGGCTCCAGGGCTGCTTCCTGGCCCAGGTCATCAGTGCCTGGAAGGGACCCTCCCATCCTGGGAATTGTCTCTGTCGCCATTGTAGGGACAGGCAGTGCGGGCTGCTGGGTCCTTCTGGCAGGTAGGCAGGTCCTATGAGGGGTGGTGAGCGCAGGCACTGCTCAGCCAGCTGGTCTCTGCCACCAGGGTCCTGCGGTGCAGGGCTATTTGTGAACACTGTTGGGGCTGGGGTGGGGCTGGAGACAGAGACCAGAGCCGACGCCTGTGGAAACCACTGGCTGTTAGACTTGCTGCCCTTCTGGGCTGTTTCCTCGCTCACTCTCCCTCTGCGTGCTCCTCCCTGCGTTTGTATCCATCACAACGGTGTCTCTGTGATGGAGGCTCAGATTACGTCGGCTGAGTCCTGGCCCAGGACTTCTGTCATTGCAGCCGGCTCTGGCCTCCTGTCCCTGTCACACACATTTGGGGGCGTTGCTGAGGGCTCAGCTACTCAGGGCCACCATGCTGCTTTGTAGACGAAGAAAAGGCCAAACAGGACCCGTCTTATTATTTGAAGAACACAAATACTGAGACCCGAGAGACACTGCAGGAGCTCTACAAGGAGTTCAAAGGGGACGAGGTCCTGGCGGCGACCATGAGAGGCCCGGAGAAGAAGAAGGTGGACAAGCTGAACGCTGTGAGTCGGCAGAGGGCCAGTGCTGCCAGCCCAGCCCCTTGCAGTGGGCCCAGGAGAGGGGCTCGTGGGGGCCTGGGCTACGTTTAGAGGGGAGGTGCTCCTGGGGGCCCGGAGTGGGGCTGCACTGAGGACCACCCTGAGACGGCGGGGGGGGATGGAGGAGGCCCCCAGCCATGGAGGGTCTGCATCGTGCTCTGGCCCAAGCTCGGTAGAGTGGAGCAGACATGCTGGGTGGACAGCTGCCCAGGGGCTTCGCTGGTACCCTGTGACCCAGCAGCCTCAGGCCTGTGGGTGGCAGGGAGGGGATGGTCCCTTGAGGTGCAGTGTCACTGCCCTGCAGAGCTGGTCACTTGGTGCACAGAGGAAACCCAGGGAGAGATGGCAGGGGCCTTTCAGGGGTGCTGTGGTGCTGAGGGGAGGGAACAGGTGGTGCTGGGGGCTGCTTGGTGCCCACCCCGCCTGGGCCTCTCCTGGGCATCAGGTTCACTTCTCACAACACCCAGCAGTCGGCCCTGAGGGCCCTAGTCGGCAGTGATGGCGCCAGGGTTGTGCCTTGGGCCCCGAAGCTGCCCTTTCCCCTATTCAGGCCGAGCCTGGCGAGCTGGGGCTAGGGGCGTGGGGAGGACAGGGGGAGGCTCTGAGGCTCCCTCCTTCAGTGATTATCCAGGGAAATTTGTGAAAGTGAGAAGAGAAAGTGTGTTGTTCATAATCCTAGCACTCTTAACAACAGCTCCCAGCATTTTGGTGTATTACCTTCTGATGGGGAGAAATATCTCTTTTTTTCTTCTTCTAACCTGGGATAAAAAAATAACGTCTATTGGGGCTTTTTTTTCCCTGATTAAAAGGATAATGTCTTGGGCCAGCCTGGTGGTGTAGTGGTTAAGTTTGCACGCTCTGCTTCAGGGACCTGGGCTTCACAGGTTCAGATCCCGGGCATCGACCCAGCGCTGCTGTCAAGCCATGCTGTGGCAGCATCCCACATAGAATAGACGACGATGGGCAAAGATGTTAGCTCAGCGACGATCTTCCTCAAGAAAAAAGAAGAAGATTGGCAACGGATGTTAACTCAGGGACAATCTTCCTCACCCCCCAGAAAAAAAAAATGATAATGTGTTTATTTTAGAAACCTGAGACTTTTAAAAGGAAACTAGAGTCCCTCATGGTCCGATCCCAGAGGTGAGCAGTTTCTGCCTGACATTTGATTTCCAGGGTCTCATTTAACGTGAGAGCCTTGGCCACCCGGGCCTTCAGCCCAGTTGAAGTTGTGGGCTGCTGCCTCCTGTGCAGGCCTGTCTTGCTATCCAGGGCACGCTGGCTTGGACCACACCTTCCCACTCCTGTCATCACATCCCTTGATCCCTCCGCCCTTAGGGAGAGGCTGAGGTGGGTTGGGCTGTCCCATCCCCGAGGAGGTCCCTGCTGGTGTCTGTGGGCGGTGGCTAGGTCCGCCTTCCTGGATGAGGGGCACCGAGCAGGGCCTGAGTAGTGGGGACAGCTGGCTTCTGTGTCCCTGGCCCGCCAGCGTCCTCAGGCGCCACTGACAAGCTGACATGGTTTTCCCGCAGGCCCACTATTCCACTGGGAAGGTGAGCGCCTCCTTCACCTCCACCGCCATGGTTCCAGAGACAACGCATGAAGCAGGTAGCTCTTTGCCTCGCCATCACCAGCCGTGCTGCTTAACAGTGGCTGATGGCAGGACACCCTGCCTGCTGCACTCCTCAGTATTGCTCTGTTGTGCCCAGCTTTGTGGAACTTAGCAGATCAGGAGTGGTCAGGTGGGGATAGGAAGTGTCCCTGTGGAAGTGTGTTTGCATCTGGGGTAGGGAAGGCCAGGGGCAGGAGGTCTCACCCAATCATGTCCTGCTTGCTAGGGCCAGTCCACCTTAGGCTCCAGCCCAGGTCGTGCCTTGGCACCTGCCTAGTCTGACATGGCACCTAAGCTCTCCACCAAGACTGCCCTTGGCATCGCCCCCAAGTCCCCTTCCTCTTGTGATCTCAGCCTGTTGGCCCCTACCATCCCCTGAGGCCCCCTGCAGTGTCCTGGCTCTTCCAGCGTCCCCTCTTAGGTGCTGAGCCCCTCCTCGCCCCCTCTGCCCATAGACTCGCCCCGGCCTGCACCCTGCTGCCTGTGCTCAGCCAGGGCAGACCTTGAGTTCTCCCGGAGCGCAGCGAGTCTGAGGGCTCAGTGCCCGGTATGGGGGCTGCCGCAGGTTGAGGGCAGGCGCCGAGCTCGGGCCTCTGCTTGCAGCTGCCATTGACGAGGACGTGCTGCGCTACCGGTTTGTGAAGAAGAAGGGCTATGTGCGGCTGCACACCAACAAGGGCGACCTCAACCTGGAGCTGCACTGCGACATGGTGGGTGTGTGGCCGGCCTCCGCCAGCGCCCAGGGTCCTCTCCGGGCTCTTAAGTGCAGGGCTGCAGTTGGTCCATGCTTGTTATAAGGAATTTAGCCTGTCCCCTAGGAGAAGTGCCCCCACGTCCCTCCCCAGAAGGGACCCTGTTAGCCGTGTGCTGCGTTTCCCTGGCTGGTGTTCTGGGCAGGTGTGCACACCTGTCACGTGAGAGTGGTCGGCTCCTCCTGCCGCTCTGCTCTCCCGTCTCCCCATGGCCCTCACTCCAGGTCATGGTGGCTGCAGTGTCCTGTCGTTCTGCGTCATGGGTCCTTCCTTCCACAATTGTGCTGGGCGGCTGACCATCTCCTGCTGCATGACAAGGGCCCTGGGTGGCATTTGTGACCCTCCCATTGGCTGCTGTTCAGCTCACAAGGAGGATCTGGGCTATTTTGCAGACACCAAAGACCTGTGAGAACTTCATCAGGCTCTGCAAGCGGCAGTATTACGACGGCACCATCTTCCACAGGTGCATCCGGAACTTCGTGGTGAGTGATGTGGGCGAGCTGTGTAGCTCCTGGCCAGCTCAAGTCCTGCAGGGGACCCCCGTCATCCCTGTGAGCTCCTCCTCAGGGGCGAGAAACACACGGGGTTGTGCAGAGGGCTGTCCTCCCCGAGAGCTCAGACCCTGGCGTTGAGCCCGTTTGGCAGGCAGGGAATTCATTCTGTCACTGGGCAGTGGGCAGCTGCCAGAGGGCCGGCAAGGCCGCGGGGTCATGGGCCCGGCTTGCTCACTGGCTTCTGTTCTTCTTGCAGATCCAGGGTGGTGACCCCACTGGCACAGGCACGGGTAGGTACTGGTGCTGGGGCTCCCCTGGGCCTGCTCTGTGGCCGTGTGGGGCAGGTGGGCGGGGGCCGTGCTGAGGGTCCAGATGTGGAAGCTGACAGACCAGCCACCGACATGCTGGGTGAACTCAGGCCCGTCCCTCAGTTTTCTCATTTTGAGCTAGTCGTAAGGTCTAAATGATAGACAGGGACGGGGAGTACATTGCCTTCTCTCTGGGCCTTCAGAAGCACCCCCTTTTCCCAGCAGACCAAGGGGGGCTCAAGAGAGCCCACAGCACGGGAGGGTTGGGCCCCCTGAGACCCCCAGGTGCCCTCCCGCTGCCTCTCAAAGCCCCCCTCAGCCTGTCAGCTGCTTGGGCCCAGGCCCACTCCCTCCTTCCATGGTAACGACCTGTGGCCTTCACCCTTTACTTGCTGTCCTCGGGACCAGGCCCCACCTGGGCTCTGAAGGGCCTGGGGGCTGGGTGTGTCCAGGAGAAGTTGGTGGTGAGGGTCCCTTGGGGCCAGCACTGCCTTCCAAGGTGCCCCTGCCCCAGACACGGCCCCAGCAGAGCCCGGTGCCCCCTGGGACTCAGCACAGGTTTCTAGAGCTGGGCTGCATCCTGCTGGCTGCACTTGGCTGGGGCCCAGTGTTCCTGCTGCCAGCCTCGCTCCTTTCTCTTCCAGGTGGGGAGTCGTACTGGGGGAAGCCCTTCAAAGATGAGTTCCGGCCCAACCTCTCACACACAGGCCGGGGCATCCTCAGCATGGCCAACTCAGGGCCTGACACCAACAAGTCTCAGTTGTGAGTTCAGCTGGGTAGCTGTGGGACCGGCCTGCAGGTTCTCCCTCTCAGCCTCTCCCTGAAGGTTGTGCTTGACCTGAATCCAGTCCAGAAGGTGTGCAGCACCCCTGGGGAGACTCACACGGCATGGTCCAGACTGCTACAAGTGCTGGCCATGTGCGCCTGTGTGCCAGACAAGTGAGCCGGCAGCTCAGCGCCCTGTGGTGTGTGCCGGCGAAAGAGCAGACATCGGTGGTTACCAGGAGATCCAAAAAGGCCTCCTGGAGAGGGGGTGACAGGAGGCAGATGTGGGTGTGGGCGTGGGTGGCCTGGGCCATGGAGGGGCAGCTGTGCAGGCTCAGCCTTGAGCAGCCGCTGGAGGTGGTGCACTTACGGAAATGGGGGATGGGGGGCTGAGAGTTGAACTTCGAACATTGAAGTGTCAGATGCCTGGGCCTCCACACTTGGTCCCAGTCTAAGTTTCAGCACCGAGAGGGTGAGAATGGGCTGCAAGTACAGGCCTGGGCGTGTCTGTGTCCAGATATAAAGAGGGGGTGAGGATCCAGCCCCAGCGAGTGTGGGGGAGGGGCGGCTGGGACCCACCTGGCGGAGGCCAGGCAGAGGCTGCCAGCGTGGGGGTAGTTCCCGGAGGAGCCACCTGAGGAGCGCGGCGTGCAGGGTGGGCGAGGCTGGGTTGGGCATCGAGGACGTCTGAGGGGACGCCCGACAGGCCCCGCTGGCTCCGTGGGATCCCGGGCCGGCTTCTCTCGGAGCTCTGTGGTTTCGTCTAAGTTTTATTATTTCCGGAACTCCTTAATTCCTACTTTCCTACTTGTTCCTTTGTTTGCTCTTCCATCTTTGCCCAGTTTTTTGAGGTGGTTTGTATTCTTGTTAAGAGCTTTTTGGATTAGATCAGTTATCTGTAGTCTAAGTATTTTTTCCACATATTTTTATTTGGTTGGAAAGATACCACGTAGTATTTTTAAGTATTGTATCTTGCAGTTGTCTCTCTTGAGGTTTCGGGCGTGCGCGGGGCTCGCGGGGTTTTGGACGGCTTTAAGGTGTCCTTTTTGCGTGGTGTGTGCGCATGGTGTTCCCGTGCATGGATGTGGACAGCGTTTCCCTTTCCCCCGCTGCACTGGCATCGCCGATGGAGCAGTCCCGCCGGCCCCAGTGGAGTGGGGCTACCTTGGGGTCCTTACCTGTGTTGAGTGTCACTGGCTGGCCCCACATCTCACAGCACCTCACAGCACGGGGAGCAGAGAGGGGCTGGGTCCCCCGGGGTCGTCCTCTCCGTGGGGAGCCTCCAAAGGGCGGAACACCGCCACCTTATACCCTCCGTGGTCCCCTGGCTTAGGGGGCTCGTTGCAGGTGATTTTTCCATAAATCCTGTCCGTCCTCAACCAGGGCCCTCCTGCCGAGAGCTTCCTCCGCTCCTGCCCCGCCCTCCCCTCCCACGTCACGTATCACCTTCTTATCTAATCAGGATCTCATTCTGTTCCGCTGCCTGTCGGGCATTCCTCCACCAGTGTCCCGCTTCCTGGATTGGACTGGCTCTCCCTGCGGGCTGCTCTGCAGGGTGCTCTAGGAGGCAGGTCCACCCTCACTGTTCGTCTCTGCCTTAGTTTTGGTTTTTACTTGGTTGGTTGTTCTCTAATATGAACTCTAAGATCATTCTATCTAGTGCTTTGAAAATTCTATTGGAATTCTTGGCTGATGTGACATCTATACTTTGGAAGAACAGATATGTACATGACATCTTTCATCTAAGAATGTGGCTTCATTTTCCCTGTGGATGTGTTTAATATCTTTTAATATGATTTAACAGTTTTCTTCACATGGGTCCCCTGCCTTTCCAGATAAAGCTACTCCTTAAGAATTTTATAATTTTGTGATTTTTTTTTTTGAGGAAGATTAGCCCTGAGCTAACTACTGCCAATCCTCCTCTTTTTGCTGTGGAAGACTGGCCCTGAGCTAACATCCGTGCCCATCTTCCTCTACTTTATATGTGGGACGCCTGCCACAGCATGGCTTTTGCCAAGGGGTGCCATGTCTACACCCGGGATCCGAACCAGCGAACCCCGGGCCGCCGAGAAGGGGAACGTGGAACTTAACCGCTGCGCCACCGGGCCGGCCCAATAGATTACCTTCCCAAGGGGAAAGCCACTGTGATATTTTTGTAAATTGAATTTTTTTCCAGTTCTTTTGCTCGTGTAGAGAAAGCCTGTTTATTTTATATCTAACCACTTTATAAACTCTCTTATAGTTCAAATAGTCTTTATTAGGAATGTCATGGGTTTCTAGATAGTCACATTTACCAGCACAAGCTGGGGTCCTCCCCTCTCTTCTGCTGTGGACACCAGTCACCTCACTGCGGGCCTGTGAGGGAGGGGACATGGGTGTCCTGTCTCCAAGTGACATACTGTTTTGCCATCTGATCAAACTTGTTGTTGGGCCTGCTTTTGTAGAGAGATTGTGGAGTTTCTAGATGCTTCTCTCAGCATCTGTTATTGTGGCCATAGGATTTTCCTTTCCTCCTTGAATTTGTGGATGTGACCACTGGGTTGACAGCCTTTCTGTCTCTGTTTCGTCCTGGAGTAAAGCGGACTGGTCCTTGCCGTGCTGTTCCACTGGCTACTGTTTTAGGTATGCCACTGTCGTCACCTGGGAGCCGCGCTGGGTTGTCTGGACTGAGCCGAGAGTGAGGGGGGTGCCCGCGCAGTGAGCCCACCCCACTTCATGGCCTGGAGCAGTTTAATTCCCTTGGACTCAGCTGCTTGTTGAGTTAGCTGGTCAGGGGCAGCTTGCACATCATTCGTGCTGCTGCTCAGGCGGGTTCCACTTCAGGGGCCACTGGGTAGTTGTGGTTTTGCCAGAATTGGACTCGTCCATCTCTGGATTTCCAAACTTGCTTCCGTGCTGGCTCCTCTGTCCGCACTCCCGGCTCCCTTCTCACTCCTGGCTGGTCTGTGTTCCTTCTTTCCTTAATGGTTCACAAGGGTTTAACTGCTTTTACCTTCTATGTGATTTTCAGGTTCTAGCTTTAATTTTCTTCCTGGTGTCTTTTCTTTCTCTCCTTTCGTACTTTCATGTCTTACTCTTTACCACTGAAGACACTCGAGTGTGACACGTTGAGGGTGTGGGTTCCCTGTCCACTGGGTGCTGCTCGTTGCTTGTTTCCCTGTTAATTTCCTCCCGGCAAGGGGTCCGTGGGAGTGTTTATTTGCAGGGAGGCTGGGTGAGCGGTTTGTGGTGGTGTTCGGGGAGGGGATGGCTGTCACCTTTTATTGCTTATTTACAGCTGGGCCCTAGGAGCCCATGAAACTGCTGCTGGATTGCTGATGTTCCTGGCTTTTGAGTTCCAGTATTATTTGGTGCTTTCTCTGACACCTTTCTTTTCAAAGAACTAACTGTAGACTACATTTTCTGTTATATTTTTGTTTTCCCTTTTGTTATTTTTCTGTTTCTGTCCTGTTTCCTTCAGGTTTATTTCATTCTCTTTTTAGTTTCCTTAACTGCATTAGAAATTAGCGCCAGTGAGACCGGCTTGGTGGCCAGCATTCAGGTCTGCACAGTTGGGGGTTTCGATGTCTATGGAGACCTGTGGCTGGGCCTGGGGCTGTGCTGCCCATGGAGCAGGCTCGGTGCTTCGGGCCTCCCTCCCTCACTGGCTGTGTGCGCGCTGCCCACACCGCCTCTGGGGGCATGGCTTTGCCCCCTCGGGCACCGTAACTGGTCCCGCGACACATTTTACCTTCGTCTCTTCTCCCTAGCCTTTTTCATATTTCTCTTCATTCCTGCTTTCCTCCTTTCCTGGTGTGGAAGTTTTACTTATGGCCTTAAGTCAACAAGTCCGTCTATTTGCAGTCTGAAGTTGAGTTACTGCCTCTCCCTCCCTCCAGACAAGACCCTTGCCATCACCCCCAGCCGGCTCTCACCTTAGTGTGGTCGGCATTTTAATTCCACTCATTTTTACCAATTGAGATGTGAAAACTTTCTGGCTCAGCGTTTAAGTACGTTTACCCATGGGTCTCAATGTCTTTACTCCTTGTCCTGCTCGTTGCCTCCTTTCTTCCAGTTCAGAGTCCTTGGTCCTTCAGTTGGTCTCTCACTGGGACAGGCTCTGGTTTCCACTCGCTCCCCCCCAAACCCCCAGCCTCCTCTCCAGAGCATCTCTGCCTCCAGGCTCTGGGCACAGTGTCTGCCTGATGGGAGGCTGGCAGCAGCGGGCCTGGAGGCCAAGCCTCCCGTGCCCCTCCCTGGGCGCTGTGCCCTGGGCCTTCTGGGGGGCTGGAGGCCTGGCTTCCCTGGGCAGCCTTGGCTGACAGCCTGCCCTGGACGGGCAGGGCATGGGGGCCACCACCCACTCACTATCTCCAACTTCCCAGAGTGGACTCTGGAGAGAGGGGTGCGCCTGGCTTGTGTCCAGCAGTTGCGGGGCGGAGACAGGCTGGGCAGAGAAGCTTCGGGCTCTTCCTGACCCTCCTCCCTCTCTCCCTCCCTCCCTCTCCAGCTTTATCACCTTCCGCTCCTGCGCCTACCTTGACAAGAAGCACACCATCTTCGGGCGGTAAGAGAAGCGGTGGGGGAGATCTGGCAGGTGGGCTCGCTCCCTCCCCAGCTGGGACCCTCACTGCCTTTTCCCCAGTTTGCCCTCATGACTGTCGCTGCCCGGGTCGTGGCCGTGCAGAGTGAGGACTTGGGGCTGCTCTATTGGCTGGGAGACGTTTGGTTCTCCAGACCTGCCAGCTAAGGAGGGCAGACCGGCTCCAGCCCCATCTGGCTGGCTGCCCTGCCCAGACTCACCCCCTCGGGCTCTCCTTTGGATGGTCCGGTCTTTCTCGCCATCCTCTGGTTCAGGGTTGGTGGAAAGGCCCAGATGGTATTTCCAGCTTTGTGGCCTCACGGTCTCTGTCACACCCCTCAGCTCTTTATTCGTAGTGCAAAAGCAGCTACAGACAGCATGGAAGCAGTGGGTGTGCTGTGTCCCAATCAAACATCACTGCCAGAGTTGGGCGGACTGGGCCCCTGGCCATGGCCAGCTGGCCCTCCTCTCCTTGCCCTACTGGGTCTTTCTGCAGCTAGTCTGGTCATGCCCCTCCCCCGTGTGCAGCCTTTGCAAGGCACTGGCAGCCTGGGGCTTGGGCTTTGGGGGTGCCCTGCTCTGGGCACGCTCAGAGGCACCCCTGTACCTCTGCTGCAGGGTTGTTGGGGGCTTTGACACACTGACAGCCATGGAGAATGTGGAGAGTGACCCTAAAACTGACCGCCCTAAGGTATGTGCCCCGGAAGAACAGTGAGGCTGCTCCTCAGGCTTGGCATCGGGCGGGATCGCCTGCTGCCCCCGCCGGCCCTGCTCACTCGCCTCCCCTACTGCTAGGAGGAGATCCGCATTGACTCCACCACGGTGTTCGTGGACCCCTACGAGGAGGCTGATGCTCAGGTGAGGAAGGCACGGCTGCCACGTGGGAAAGGGCCTGAGGGAGGGCCCCCTGGCCTCAGGGGCTCTGGCCAGCCACTGCCCTGCTCCGCCACAGATTGCCGAGGAGCGCAAGAAGACGCAGCTTGAGGTGGCGGCCCCAGAGAGCACGGTGAAGACAAGGCAGCTGAAGCCAGGGAGCCAGGGCCCCCAGACGTACCGCCAGGGGGTGGGCAAGTACATCAACCCGGCAACCACGTGAGTTGGGGGGGGGCTCACGTCCTGTTTCCACAGTGCCCACGGATCAGAGCCCGCAGGGGCAGGGAGGCCGAGGCCCTGGGATCCCACGTGAGCGGGTGCCACAGGGGCCGCTGTAGGCAGACGAACCCAGCCGCGGGGCCTCAGTGCAGGCGGAAGAGATCGAAGCTTTGGGGTGAGGGTGTGTGCGACCATGCGATGGGTAGACACCTGGCTCCTAGCTTGGAGGGTCTGGGACCCACACGGCAGCTGGAGTCTTCTCTTCCCAGGAAACGTATAGCAGAGGAGGAACCGTCAACCAGTGCAGCTGTCCCTGTGGCCAAGAAAAAGCCCAGCCGAGGTTTTGGGGACTTCAGCTCATGGTAGCAGCAGGCCTGCTGCTCTGGACCCTGGTAGGGACGCAGGGCTGGCGGCCTGTGTCCATGTCACGCAATTTTCTGCCCTTGTAAGCCTGCCTTTCGGGCTGCAACTCAATAAAGCTCTTGCCTTGCCTGGGTCCCCTTTCCTGGCCCCAGGAGCCCAGGGGCCTCCCTGTCTCTCTCCTGGCCCTGTTTCCAAGGCCTGCACCCAGCCGGAGTCCACGCCTCAGACTACAGGCAGGGGTCTGGCCCTTCCAGCAGCTTGCGGCCTGGGCCTGGGTCGGGAGGAGAGGCTGGCTGCTCATCGCGGTTGCCCCAGGCGCCCCATTCGGTCATCTTCTCAGGGACTCTTCACTCAGTGTGGTCCCACCGGCAGCGGCACCTGGGGCCTTGTTAGAAACAGGCATTCTCAGACCCCAGGCCTTCTGACGAGAGCCGCGGGGCAGGGGGCACGGTCAGGGCTCTGCAGTCCACGTGTTGACAGACCTCTGGGGCTCCTGATGCCAGTGGTTTGAGGGCCCTGCACTAGAGCCTTGACATTTGTTAAAACCTTCTCTGCTACTTCTTGTTTGGGCTCACTGAGGCCCGCCCACCCAGTAAAGGCTCCTGGGCAGCCACAGCCCCACCCCTGTCTGCTAGTACCCAGGACTGCCCGCCTCCCAGCCTCAGGATGGTGGTGAGACCACACGTGGGTGACACTGGCCAGCTCCTGTTACTGATGGACCAGTAGAAGGCCTTGGCGAGCTGGCGTGTCCCCCTTGCCCCCACCTCTCCACTCTCAGGACTGTCCTTATGCTCAAATATGACCCTCAGCCTGGGCTCTAGGGCTTCCGGACCCAGTGCACCAGCGTTTCGTAACAGAGCCCTGCCCTTGACCTTGTTTTTCTATAAATGTCTTCAAAACACTGACACTCGCCTGCCCTTCCTTGTTTTCCGTTCACTGTGCAGCCCGTGCGGCCCGGCTCCGCTCTCCTGACTTTGACCCCGCCACCCCAGCTTTCCCGAAGCGCCTCTGTAGAAGCATGGGGACAGCTGCCTCCTCCCAGGACCCCCATCTCCTCCAGCCCCGGGCCTCTGAGGGGGGTCACTGACCCCACCCCTGCTCTCAATACCCGTTGTCCTTGGGTCAGCACAGGCCACCATCCCTCCAGCTTGTCACACTGAAATTCCAACTTAGGCTTCAGCCTTGGTTTTTCTCCTTTCCCTCACCCTAACCCTCAAATCCATCAGCCAGTCTCACAGCTCTTACTTCTGGAATGTACCTTAGTTCTTTTTCTTTTTTGAGGAAGACTGGCCCTGAGCTAACATCGGTGCCCATCTTCCTCCACTTTATATGTGGTACGCCTACCACAGCATGCTTGCTAAGCGGTGCCATGTCCGCACCTGGAATCTGAACCTGCGAACCCCGGGACGCCGAGGCGGAACGTGTGCACTTAACCGCTAAGCCACCAGGCTGGTGCTACCTTAGTTTGTCCGTATCTGAGGCTGAACCCCAGGCCCAAACCCTTTGTGTTCACGTGTCTCTATTTGAGCCCCTCATGCAGCTCCACACGGATGCCGTGTCCACATCGCCTTCCCATAGCTCACCAGCCCATTGCCTTCTCGCTTCCGGCCGGTCACCAGCTTTCCGCTGTGTCCTGCCTGCAGCCTGTCCCTCTGCAGTCCCCTTGCCTGTAACCAGTAGCTGGGGACCTGGGCTCTACAGTGACTTCCCAGCCCCTCCGCACCTTCAGCCAGGCCCTCGTCCCTCATTGCACAAACGGCCCCCTCACCACCACCCCTTCCAGCTACAGACGTCTGATAACTCACTGACACTCAGACCTTTGCGCCCACGCTGTCTCCGAGCGCCTGCTTCCCACAGGAGGAGAGGGCTTGGCAGGCAGGATGTGGCGTCGGCTGGGTGCAAACGTTCCTGCAGGCCACTGAACGGGGGCTTGTAGCCGAGTGCGGGTAGGCCTGAAGGCGGGGAGCGGGGGAGGGCGGTGAGTGGGTACAACATGCCTTGGGGGCGCTCGCCCCTCAGGAGGTCAGGAGGAGGTGAGCACGGTCAGCCGCAGCCCCCACTGTACTGTTAGACCATCCTTGGGCTACACTCGCAGCCCCCAAAGTGGTGAGCACGGCGCTCCCACAGCTGCTTCTGTGATGGCGGGCTGCGCACAACAGCGCCGGACCAGGGCCACCGGCGGAGAGGAGCTCCGAGGCCCCAGGCCCCTTGCTCCCGGCAGCAGCTGTGGGAAACCAAGGCCTCGTCCCTCAGTGTCAGAGCAGAGGGCACGGGACAGGTGGCGCCACTGAGACGGAAATGTCTGACCTCGGAACCTTTATTTCCGAACCTCACAGACACAGAGGACTGAGGGCTGCACATGGGAGGTGGTGGCGGCGCGGGCACGGGAGCCCAGTTGTCCTGCTCCAAGGCACAACCCTCTGGGCTGGCCCCGGGCTGCTGCCCGTCCATTTGTGCAGCCTCCCCCAGCGGGGCCGGCACACAGAAGGCCCGGCCCCCGGGGCTGCAGGCCCAGGGCCTTGGACAACTGAGCGTTTGCATTTCTGTAGGTCATTTTGGAGCTTAAAGTAGTTTCCTAGATAGTAAAACACTTGGATTTTATAGGTACCTGGTGAGGTCACCAGGCAAATTAAAGGACTTTTGAAAGAAATTCCCATTTCTGACCCCTCCTAATATCCGACAGATGCCATCAAGAATAAGTGTTAAGGTATAAAAATACTATATATATGTGTATATATAAAATGGCAACAAATCTAAACCACATTTCTAAAGCAAATGTACTTTGCCAGAGGACACTACATAGTTTAAGTTAAATACATTTATAGTCCTGGCATCAACTCCCACTCTTCTCAAGGAAAAAATATTTTAAATAATTTAAATAAAAGTCACGGGATGATATTTTACTGTTTAGGAATTTAAGAGGGTGGAACATTCCAGCACCGTACCAGCGCATCTGGTTGTGGTCGCGTGAACATCCTTCCTTGAAGCCGGCTCACAGTCAGTTCATTTGGTTTCAAAGGGAGTTTGGATTTTGCAGAGGACCAACAAAAAAAGTGGTAAGAGTTTTTGTTGGTATCAATTACAAAAAAAAATACAAAAGTCATAAGACCACTAGTAAAAATGTTTCAATGTCATCACAAAAGACAATACAAAAACCAAAGTGCTCAAATCAAAGGAGCAGTCCGCCTGTCCAGACCTCGGCGGAGCTCTCAGCGGGGCGGTGTCAGACTCGGCTTGAGGGGCGCCTCGGAGAAGCGCCCCTCGCAGCCGGCCAGCGCTGGGGCCGCAGGAGCCAAGACGAGGAGGGAAAGGTCGGTGTGGGCCAAGTTGTCACTGACTCGTGCTCACTCCTCGAGGACGGGGTCTCAGGCCCTTCCAAGTTTCCACGAGGGCCCGGCGCCGCGGACGTTCGCTGCTCCAGGTGCTGGCTTGCACGTCTTGGGTTTCTAACTGTGGCAGCGAAAGGCCCTGTGTAGTGACTGGGCCCTGGAAGCCTGGAGGCTGCACAGCTGAGCACTGACTCAGTGACACGCGGGTGTGTCAGGACAGCCTAAATCTGCAGCCACCAGCCCAGGGCAGCAGCAGCCTGCGGGCATGCCCGTGAGTGGGGCTGACACAGCTGTGCCAACACTGCTGTGCCAAGACCTTCCCTCACACTCGGAGCTGTGTGTCGGGCTCCTCCCGACACAAACTTGCACTGATGTCCCCTCGCCCGGGGCAGGGCAGCAGCATTTCCCACATCCCGAGGCTTTGAGTTGTAGGCAGAGACGGGGCCAAAAGAGAAGCTCCCAGTGGGCAGCTAAACCAGAGCCAACGAGGGGACCTCAGGGCCTGCACGGCCAGGGCTCCAGGCTCTGGCGGGCTGGAGGCAGGGAAGGGGCCTCCCAGGGCTGGAAGGCCACCCTCACTGTCCCCAGCCCGCTCGAGCTCCTTGCCACTGGTCTAGCCTCATCTGGAGGAGGGTTCGGAGCCATCCTGTCAGCTGAGAAACGTCTGCCTGCGCTGCTCTCCTCACTCTGCCAGCTCTGGGCCTCCCTACCCTCAGCACTGGGTCCCGGGAGTCACGCCGTCCCAGACGCCTGGAGCGCCAGGCCGGGCCCACCAGCTGCGGTCAGGTCAGGACGCAGGAAGCCCCACTCTGTTCTCTGCAGGTTGGTCAAGGTGCCCGAGCAGTGCCCACTCCGCAGGGGCCGGGGAGGTCGGGGCTCACGCCAAAGTTGAAGACACAGGACTCGGGAAAGTGGTCCCGGGACAGAGTGCGGCAGGCGCGGGACCCTTCGAGCAAACCAAACATCTCCATTTTATAAATTTTAAACCTGTCTTGCAACTGTAAGCTCTTCTGAAAACATTTTAAAACAATCTAGCAAATCTCACGTTTGGGAGTTTATCCTGTTAGTTCTGGCCTCTTTCATATGCAAAAATAATTCTTTTTCTTCAAGTACATCAGAGTAGAAAAGGAAACCCGATTTTACTCAGTCCAGTGCATTAAAGGATAAGGCGAGGCCAGCGCTCAGTGACTGGCAACGCGGAGGCCCTGCAGCCCTGCGCCCGGGCGCCGCCGCCCACAACAGTCTGCTCACCACTAGTTCGCTCGCTTCCTAGATAAGGAAGCTGTTGGCTTAAATACACAAGATGTTCCATTAGCCATTTCCCTATTTATAGCTTATCTAAAATGTTGGCGTTCTCTGTTTTTGAACAAGGCTAAAAAAACACCCTGGGTGTATAGATTTCTTGACTGCTTCTGGAAGATTCCTAAATGAGCACTATGCCTTAACAGCTCATCTGCAAGAGGAATAACCAGTTGGCAGCTTTGAAAATTAGAGAAAAAGTGGGCTGAGGAACCTCGCCTCTAAAGAAGAGGGGTGGCCTTGCTCTCCAAGGAGATCCGGTCCCCGGGGTCTGCAGAGACTCGGTTCGGTTTTCTATCAAACAGGAAAGAGCACAGCCAAACTCTATCTGAAAGGCGAAGGTTAGAAGAAGGCATTAACTAGACAGAAGTCATCCACTGGTTAATTCTTCCTCTAGAGCTTGACCAGTTAGAAAAGGTGACAGAAAATTTCCAGAAACAACCGTGTACACGAACGGGACGTGGACTGGAGGGGCGCCTTCCCCGCGGGCACGGCCGGGAGAGGCCGGCCTGCGAGTGGCAAGTTCAAGAGGCCCTGTCACCGGGCGCTCCTGCGCTCCCACGGTGCTGCCGCCTCTCCAACAGCACTCAGAGAACGGCAGCCTGCGCTTCACTCCCAGCCGTTGTCTTTGATCATGTGGGCAAGCTCAATAATAAATTTTCCTTCCTTATATTTCTGACTGCTCTCAAAGGCATGTTCCTTGAAAAAGAAAAGCAGAGAGAAAGGTTTCAGGACAGGGCCAATTTCCTTTGTCAGCTTCACTGCACACTTGGTGAAGAAAAGAAGTCTACAGGACGTCTCCCCAGATGTCCCCTGGCTGTGCCCGCCGCGGCCAGGAGGCCTGTCTCGGGTGATGAGCCCATGGAGGGCAGCACGTGGCCGCCCTGTACTCAAGTCACAGTTAACTTGTAGGGGACATTAATTTACACTTGTTACTGAGCACCTGCCATGTGCAGGGCGATCAGGGAGGCAGGAAGAGCGAGACATCCTTCCAGGGGCTCGAGGTGAAAGCCGAGGGAAGTGAGTAGCCAGCGAGCCCCGGACAGTCTGAGGACGCCCAGGGAAGGGAAGGCCCCGCGCTGGGGGCGGGATGGAATGGACCAGGCCAAGCAGGCGCGAGGGCTGGGGGAACATGCAGGCCTCACTGGGCCATCTCCATGCCGGGGACTGTGTCCCTACATCTGACGGGGACATGGGAGACCAGCAACGATCAGGATTTCCAGCGAGAGGGGGACAGCAGGTGGCCCTGACGAAGGAAAGCAGAACGGCCGCAGAAGA